TATGTAAGATTTTATGGTCGACAGATGTTTTGCTGTCGAAAAGCTTGTCTCGAATATAGATAGCGAAATCGCTAGACATTTTCTAAAAGATAAAAATTTTAATTTTTCTAAAAATATGTTAGAAAAAAAGTTTGCTGACATTGACAAGAAATTTGAGAATGTTTTAAACAAGAACAAGAGGAAGTTAGAAAATGCTCAGATAAAGCCTATACATGACAAGTTCTTATTTGCTCAGAATGGTATAACAGGTCTAATTGCACCACCTGGGTCGGGTAAGACTTTCACTTATCTTAAAATGGCTGCACAACAACAAGAACTAGATGAGAAAAACCCATTCTATGAGTTAGTTGTTATTTGTTCGACTTCTGGTCAATTTGACCAAACCGTCAATTCGTTCAAAGATATTATAAAGAAGTCTAAGTTAGTATGTATAAAGGATACTGAGTTGTTAGATTGGATAAAGAAGTACCAAAGAAGAGTTTTGAAGTATAATGCTATAAATGAGTATATAAATTCTAAGTTTAAAGACCCAAATGAGGAAATGCAGAGAATATTAGACAAACACCACTTCAGAAACAAACAGAAAGAGATAGAATACATTTCGAAGAAATTGCAATCTTACGATTGGAAGACTTACCCTCATAGATGTCTTCTTATCTTAGATGATTTCGCCTCTCATCCTTTGTTAAAGAATAGAGAACAAGATATGTGTCGAATTCTTAAGAAGCTCAGACACTTTAACATTTCAGTTGTCATTTGTGTACAGACAGCAAAGAGTTTAAGTAAGGATGTTAAAAGAATACTTACTGACATTGTACTTTTCCCCGGATTGTCCGAAGACGATTTCATGGAACTTATGAAAGAGTCCATGGCAGGTAAGTTTGACAGACATGAACTATGGGAGAAGTACAAAGTCATACAAGACCCTCATACTTCTTTCAGAATTCATATCTACGCGAACAAAGTTCAAATTGTAAAAAGTCAAGCTTGAAAAATAAATGGTTCATCTACCCTGCTTGTTTGAAGTTGTCAAAATACTCTGTTATTTTTCACTGTTTTCATAGAGTTTTGGCGACTAAGGTTTCTTACCTACTCGCTGTTCTTCACTGTTTTCATACGGAATCTCTTCTCTCGGTTTTCCGAGGGAAGCAATCTTATGCCATTTTACTCAGATTTTTGTGCTGAATTCAGCAAAAATATATTTTAGGGTAGAAGGTTAGATCTAACCTGTTTTCTAACCTCTTTTCTCACCTCATGAATTTTCATGATTTCATCGTAAATGTTTTGTCAAGACTTCTTCGTATATGTTTTGTCAAGACTTATTCGTAAATGTTTTGTCAAGACTTCTTCGTAAATGTTTTGTCAAACATGAACGTATATGTTTTGTCAAGACTTCTTCGTAAATGTTTTGTCAAGACTTCTTCGTATATGTTTTGTCAAGACTTATTCGTAAATGTTTTGTCAAGACTTCTTCGTAAATGTTTTGTCAAACATGAACGTACATGTTTTGTCAAGACTTATTCGTAAATGTTTTGTCAAGACTTCTTCGTAATGAGCGTAAATCAGACAAAAATATATTTTAGGGTAGAAGGTTAGATCTAACCTCATTTCTAACCTCTTTTCTAACATGGTCTAAAACACACAAAACTCATGATTTTTGGTCATTTTTCAGCAAAAATAATGTTTAGGGTAGAAGGTTAGATCTAACCTGTTTTCTAACCTCTTTTCTACCCCAGTTATTTTATAAGCGTTTTACATGGTAAACGTTATTTTTTAAATTTTGTGAAAACTCAACGGTTTGACACAAGCCCTAAAAATTATTTTACTCAGAATTTTGTTGCTGAATTCAGCAAAAATAATGTTTAGGGTAGAAGGTTAGATCTAACCTGTTTTCTAACCTCTTTTCTACCCCAGTTATTTTATAAGCGTTTTACATGGTAAACGTTATGAATTCGTGAGACTCTAAACAGTTTTGTAGCTTCTATTTCTTCGCTGAGGATATCGAATGTTTTAACTATGCCGAAAGTCTCTTTATACTTCTTCTTGACGTCAGATAGAAGGAAATCTTCTGCTGTTGGATAGTTTTTGTTCAGAAATTCTAACATGTCCATTTTATTTTCTACCGGCTTCTCTGCTTCTTTCTTTAAGTCTGCATAGTCGTTTCTCATACGTTCTATCTCTTTGACGGAGTAGTTATATTTCCTAATTGCCGCTTTACATTTAGAACATTGCGGGTTCATTTTTGCGTTATATTCTGAAACCTTACCTGCTAAAACAACCAAGGCGTCAATGGTTTTCTTTAACTCAAAAGTTGTTGGTCTTATTTGTTCGTTCCATATTTTACATCTTTTATCTTTATCTCTTATCTGCCATACACATTCAGCAACTAACGAAACAAAGTTGTCGTAGGTCTTAAATTCTTCAGATTTATATATGTCAGAAATATTCTTATATACCATGTCGCAATCTTTGTCCATAACCTTATGGTTGCAATGAAATCCTAGAAACTCATAGTTTACCTTACGAATGAACTTCTTTATTTCTACTGAGTCAGTTGCTTTGACTTCAATTTCGTCGAATTCAGGAATGGTTAGTTTTTGTTGCTGAATTTCAGGCAATTTAGGCAAATGGTCAATAATGTCCTGCATTTCATAAAGATACTGTTCATTTGTTTCATCTTTCGCACTACAGTCTAAATTACATGTTAAAAGTTCTTGCTTTATCTTCTGGATTTCTGTTTCAAAAGTATATGAAGAAGGAATGAAGCTTTTCATTTCTACTAACATAGATGTTGGATTCATGACTAACGAGTTTGGTGCTGTTGTTTGAATTGTTGTTGTGCCGATTGTTGACATTTCTGTTCTTTTATACAAAATAAAAAAAAATAAAAAAATAAAACTAACTTTATTTTTTATTTCGGGAAAATTCATGAAAATTCAAGAGGGTAGAAAACAGGTTAGAAAACAGGTTAGATCTAACCTTCTACCCTAAATTATATTTTTGGGTCCTTTACACTCATTACGATGAAGTCTTGACAAAACATTTACGTTCATGTTTGACAAAACATTTACGAAGAAGTCATGAAAATTCAAGAGGTGAAAAAAGAGGTGAAAAAACATTTACGAAGAAGTCTTGACAAAACATTTACGAAGAAGTCTTGACAAATTCAAGAGGTGAAAAAAGAGGTGAGAAAAGAGGTGAGATCTAACCATCTACCCTAAATTATATTTTTGGGTCCTTTACACTCATTACGAAGAAGTCTTGACAAAACATTTACGAAGAAGTCATGAAAATTCAAGAGGTGAAAAAAGAGGTGAAAAAACATTTACGAAGAAGTCTTGACAAAACATTTACGAAGAAGTCATGAAAATTCAAGAGGTTAGAAAACGTGTTAGAAAACGTGTTAGAAAACGTGTTAGATCTAACCATCTACCCGACATTCTCGTCAAATACAAAAAAATGAAAAAAATGACACTTTTTCATTAGATAACTGTTATTTTTTGACGAAGTGAACGTTGACACTTCGTCAAAAAAATCCCTGAAATCATATCTTACATACAAAAAAATACAAAAAAATGACACTAACTTTATTTTCTGACTTTCACAAAAGACCAAAAATAAACGCTTTACATGTATTTTTCAGCAACTTCGTCAAATAATTTTATAGCTTTATCTATCTCATCTACTTCAAACGTTTCTTTACCTTTCGTGGGAGCACCATACATTTTCTCAAACTTTTCGAGTAGTTCTGTTTCAGCAGCTCTCATATCATTAGCAAACACAACCTTGACTATATTGACTGTACTGTCATATCTTAGAGTTATATTATATGTTCTTCCTATCTTATATCTCTTTGTATTGAAGTCCTTCGGTTTCTGAACGATGTAAAGTAAGCCTTCACTGCAACGTTCCGTATCGAATGAACCATATGTTATGAAGTTATATCCAACAACTGGGTCAATCCATAACAAAACTATTGGTATAAGACTTTTGTCTATAAGATATGCTCTTGTTCCATGAAATGCTACTGATATCATAAGCTCAGGATTTCTTGTCAAAATTTTCTGAGTAGAAGCAATTCTAACCCAGTCCTTCGGTCTCTTTCCAGATGGAGATAAAATGTCTGACAAAGAATATTTGTTGTATTTCTTTGAGTATCTTACGTTTAAATCACCAATTCTAACCACTTTGGTGTCATTGTCTATCTTTTTAACTGTTTCAAACTCAATGTTTGACATATATGTCTTTACATACAAAATAAAAAAATAAATAAAAATAAAACTAATTTTATTTTTTCTATCTTAAGGAAATTCATGAAAATTCACGAGGGTAGAAAAGAGGGTAGAAAAGAGGTTAGATCTAACCTTCTACCCTAAAATATATTTTTGGGTCCTTTACACTCATTACGAAGAAGTCTTGACAAAACATTTACGAAGAAGTCTTGACAAAACATTTACGAAGAAGTCATGACAAAACATTTACGAAGAAGTCATGACAAAGCATGTACGATGAAGTTTTGACAAATCATTTACGATGAAATCATGACAAAACATTTACACTCATTACGATGAAGAAGTCTTGACAAAACATTTACGAAGAAGTCATGACAAAACATTTACGAAGAAGTCTTGACAAAACATTTACGAAGAAGTCATGAAAATTCAAGAGGTGAAAAAAGAGGTGAGAAAACAGGTGAGATCTAACCTCTTCACCTAAACATTATTTTTGGGTCCTTTACACTCATTACGATGAAGTCTTGACAAAACATTTACGAAGAAGTCATGACAAATTCAAGAGGGTAGAAAAGAGGTTAGAAAACAGGTTAGATCTAACCTTCTACCCTAAAATATATTTTTGGGTCCTTTACACTCATTACGAAGAAGTCTTGACAAAACATTTACGAAGAAGTCTTGACAAAACATTTACGAAGAAGTCATGACAAATTCAAGAGGGTAGAAAAGAGGTGAGAAAAGAGGTTAGATCTAACCTTCTACCCTAAATTATATTTTTGGGTCCGGGAACAACTTTCTCTCAATAGGGGCTGTAGCGTACTCTTTGCGTAAGCGGTTCAGACCTTCTTCGAACTCTTGGTCTCTCTTCGATTTGGATTGAGATTGGAATTGCTGGAACATCCAAGGGTTGGGGCAGTAAGGCATAGGCTGAGGAGGGTAGTTCGGGAAGCCTTGTGGTGGGTAGTAACCTTGAGGTGGAAATTGGTAGAAATTCGGAGGTACTTGCTGGAACTGAGGTTGCTGAGGAGACTGTTGTGGTTCTTTAGGTTCCTCTGGTTTGGGAATGGACTCGGTTGGTGGGACGTGAGACATTCGTTTGTGTCCTGTCGGAAGGAAAAACTTTTCCTGTCGGAAGGAAGAACTTTTTCTGTTGGAAGGAAAAACTTTTCCTGTCGGAAGGAAAAACTTTTTCTGTCGGAAGGAAAAACTTTTTCTGAAGTTCGACCAAAAAGTTCTCAATTTTCGAAAATTTGAATGGTTTACGGACGGACAACTGGAAAATTTTTTCTTGTCGGAAGGAAAAATTTTTTCTTTTGTCCGGAAAATTTTTTCCAGTTGTCGGGAAAATATTTTCCTGTCGGATGGAAGAACTTGGAATGCAAGAAAGACTTGACGAGGCAATTTACCTAATTGAAATTAACAACTGCGTAAAAGACTACTTGCGCAAGGTCATGAAGCCCAAGGTCAAGTTCACCGCTATTTCTGGAAGGGCTGCCTTGAATCTCGAGACTTCGACTGGAATTCCAATTCAAATACCAGAAAACACTCCTTTCGACGACATAAAGGACGCCAAAAGAGAAGCCATTATAAAGTTCTTTGCCAAGCGTCCTTGGATACTACTTCCAAACAGAGAGAGTCCAATTCCACGAATTATACAAATTCTCAAGGGTCTCCTTCGCTTCTCTGGTCAGCCATTCTACATAACCTGTGAAGGCGACATCCAACCAGTTCAGTAAACCTTAACGTTTAACTTCACTTTTTTATGTTTTTTGTGAAAGTGTCAAAAATAAATTGTTTTCATGAGTTTTCTACGATGTTAGAAAAGTGGTTAGAAAACGTGTTAGATCTAACATGCTAACATAAACATTATTTTTCAATACTTTTTCAGCACTTTTCCGTAGTTATATATGAAAGACAATTCGAGATAAAAGTCATAGTACAATGGAATAATATGTTGCACACCATTTGTTGTGAACCAAACTTGAAAGTCAGAGAAACTGTTACTAGGTGGTTCGTAGAATTTAGAAGCAAAGTCATAAAAGTCCTTACCAATACATAGAAAACTATTGTTGCTTGAACTGAAACTTGCATGACACATAACATTTTGAGGGTCAAACACGTTTCTATAAACTGTCAAATCTGCTGGTGGAAGTATAAATTTAAATGGACCATCTGGTGGTAATGGTTCGTTCTGGTTTAGTAACCGAAGAAATTGTGCCCAAGAACGTTTGTCTACTTCCCAAAATAAAAACTCTGTATCTCTTGGAGGGTTAATTTCAATCTTTTGAAATGAAACGGTGGAGTTCATCTTGTCATATTCTAGTTTCAGATAGTATGTTCCATTTAGTAAAGAGTCGTATTTTTCTTGAAATTCCCAATAATATTTGTTCATTTGAGTTTGAAAGTCATTTAGAGTTTTCTCAAGACTTTCGTCTGAACGAACTGTAAAGATTCTCATTTCGTCGAATTTGTCTATTAGACCATCAGAACCTTTATACTGCCCATGAAAATATACTGCGAACATAAATGCGTTAGTTCTATTTGAAAACAAAACTCTTCTAAATGCTATTGCCTTTGCATCTGAAGGACTTTGAAGCCAACGAATTGGATAGTCAAACCTGTATGCTCGGGATGAAATTTCTTCATCTGAAATAGTCCTACCAGCATTTGTAAAGATATAGTCTAACGGTTTTGTATCTGCTACTTTTGTTCTTTGTTTTTCAACCTGAAGCATTTAATATATGTAAAAATATATTGTTTTAAAATGGTATGCCATTTCATATTTCTCATCTAACAAACAAGTTTCCCAACGGTCTTCTCCAACAAACTCAGCGTACATTTCAAATAAAATTAAAAAATGTCACTTTTAAAAAAATAAATTTTTACTTCATGCAATGTTTTATTTCTGTGCCGTCTTCAAGTATGCCCCAGTACTTACGCTTGGAGAGGACATGAACTTCGGTGAAAATTTTGTCCAATTTGAATCGACCCATCTTTTCACCGACCATACCCATTTCAATGAGTTTGTTGTATCCTTCTTCGTTCGTCATGAGTGCGTCAATGTTCTCATAGTAAACCTTGACTTTGGATTTGACTTCGGAGAAGAATTTGTTGTAGTTGTCAAGGACTGCCTTTGCGAACTGAGGGTAAGACCAATGTTCGACAATAGGTTTTAATGTGGTTACTAAGCCACTTTGACCTTGAGTGAATTCGTACTTCAAAACAAAAGGAGAAAACCTTTCAACAAAGTTGTCGACCTTCTCATAATGTTTACTCTTCATCTCTTGAGGTTTCTTAATGGAATATCCCCATGTCGAATTCATAAGCAATTTGAGTGTCATTGCAAGTTTGGGGTTTGAAGCTTTCCTAATATCATACAGTTGTTGTATGACTTTTCCAACTGTATAGTTCCTTCCCGGGAACTCACCATCTTCGTTTGGAATTCCAGTCGGAATATATTGGACAAACCTCATGTATGCAGCGTTAAGGTCGACATAGTATATCTTTTCATCTGAGTCGAACTTGTCGCAACCAATTGGTCCAGTTTGTGGAAATTCAAGTGAGTCTCTTATCTTCTGAGAAACTTCTCCTGTTATCTCATAAACATCGTCGAAGCAACCTGTTTCATATAAAACCTTCTGACCTAACTCAGATGCTCTCCAATACAATTTGACGTCAATTGGATGTCTCAATGGAAGTTTGTTTATAGCATCTTGAAGTTCTTGCAACCTCATTGGAAGTTCTTCTGGTTCAGGTTGGTATCCGAACAATCCAACTCCTTGTGGAATTGTGTACTTCTTTTGTACTAGAACTTTGTCTGGAACAACTTTTGGTCTTGCTAACAGTGAAAAGTTTGTTTCGTCTTTTGGTACAAAAGTTTCTGTCAGCTTGTCATCTGGAATTGGTTCCAACAAACCTTTCTCGAAAAGAATGTTTACAGCTCTGACAATGTTGCACTTGCCTTTTCCGAACAATGGGTTTGTAAGACTTTCGTTCAACATGAAGTGGTTGTGGACAATTACAATCTTCAACCATGGTAAGTCTTTGTCAACAACATAGTCGTCATGTGAAGAACCTTTAGCTGTAGGTATGTTGACTCGGATATTGACATTTGCCAACGGTGCAATTTTTGCCAATTGACCTCTGAGAATGTACCTTGTCTTCACACATGACTCAAGATACTTCATCTTCTCTTCTGTAACAAGACCAGAGTTCCTGAGACATGTAAGAATACAAGGTTCATTGACAATTGTTTCAATTGAATTGTAAATTCCATACCTTGTCAAGTCAATGTCAGACTTATTTATGAACGGAAAGTATCCAGCATGTTGTCTGACTGCTTGAGGGTTAGGTTGGTACCATTCGAACTTGACACTTGCAATTCCTTCAATTGCATTCAAAATGTCTGAGTCGGAGTCAACCATTTGTTCTCTCTTTGTAGTCTTGAAAGCGTCAAGAAGTTTTGCGGCTGTTTGTTCATTGCCATTTGCATAGTAAATGTGACCATCCAAATCTGTTATGGTCAATCTGAGATTGTGTCCTTTCTTATTTCCGTCTTGAATTGCAGCAAGTACACCCATGAAGCCTTCTTTGTTCTTTCCTTCGTCAAAGTTTACTGTAAAGGTTCGACCAGATGTAATTTGACTTCTAACTTCACGATACTTCTCATATGCATATCTTGTTCTTTCCATGGGAGCATGACCATCCTCTGCACTACCTTTTTTCCTTCTCAAAGGATGCAATTGTTCGTCATGTTTCCAGTAGAATCTGGCAAAGCCGTCGTGTCCTTCAACTTGAGGTTCACTAACATCGAAAGGCATGTCCATAAGACGTTCTTCTTCTAACCTCTCTAGTCTGTTTGGATAATTTGCACGTGCTGTTTCCAAATCCATTTCGTAGCGAAGACCAGACAATTTGTCATAGACTTTTATGGGTCTTCCCTTCCTATATTTAAAATTCTTCGAAACTCTCCAACCATATCTTTGCAACTCTGCTTTTATTCTAGCAGATTTTCTATCCATTCTATATGGGGGCATTTTTATAAAAATAAAAAAATATTTTTTTTCTTTACTTTACATAACCGCCTGCTGCCATAAGTCTTTGACGCCAACCCATACCAGCTAATGAAGGTTGACTTGGTTTAGTTTCCAAACTAAACTTTGGTTTTGGTTTATCTTCAGTTTTTGGTTTTTCTTCTTCTATCGGTTTTTCGTCACTTTTCGGTTTCTCTGACTTTACCTCACCTGCAGGAACAGTTGTGTCGTCAACATCTTCATAAATATCATATGCCATTTGTTTTTGTTTTCCTTTCAACTTTTTGTGTTTGTTGTAAAGTTTAGAATATTTCGACTCTAAGTCAATGAGATGTTCTATAATGAACTGTTGGTCAGTGAAGTAAACTTTTCCATCTGTTGTTTCGAAAGCTCCTTCAGACTTCAATATTTTATTTGTGAGAGTCTGTTTCTTTTTTGAGATACTTGCCGTTCCATTTTTATGAAAAGTGACTTTGTAGTTAGGGTTTGTATTTCCAGACCTGGCACTTTCTATTATTGAATTTTTCTCTTCATCTGTAAGTTCTTTGACAGGTTTTGACAATGGTTCTGAACTTTTTGTTTGTGGTGTCAAATCTACCGTTTCAACTTCTTCGGTCATTTCATCTCAGTAAAAAATTTTAGTTTGGTTTGTTTTCAACTGGTTGTTGTTGTTTTTTAAGTCGGTCTAAAACTTCCTGAGGTATAGGAAGAACTTGACAAACACGTGGTGTAACTGCTGGAAGTCGACAAATCCATCTTGAACCCATTTGTCTCAATGCTGTATTGTTCATTTCATCTCAGTAAAAAACTTTACATTCCCCACGTTTGAGGCGGTTGAGGTTGGTTATTGTTTACCCACTGTTGTGCATGGTTATATCCTCTGTTAAAGAATCTTTCACCTTGGTCCATATAGTGTCCTGCTTGGTTATAGTAGTCATTTGCTTTGTTATAATAGTTTCCTGCTTGTCTTCCTACATTGTCCATCCATCCTTGAACTTTTCCTCTTGTTTCAGGATTTGGAATAAGATTTGTTGCATCTTGTGCTACATCCCAACCTTTCTGTACAGTTTGTATAATAGGTTGTGCTTTCTCTTTAAGTATACCTAATGTACTCAAAATCTTCCTTCCAACTCCAAATACACCTCTGGCTATTGTTCCAACTGCGGGCAAAAATCTGGATGCAACTCCTGCTAATGCGCCAAATAAACCCATTTCTTATAGGGTAAAAAATGACGAATCCAAACAAGGACCCCTATGTTTCTAAAGCGACAAAGAAAGCACTCATGAAAAAATCTTTAGTTCAACACCAAATGCTTGGTTTATGGATATCTTGGAAAACATTCCGAGAGTTAGAACAGATGGACCACCATACTGGCTAATATTTGTCGGTCAAAAACACAAGATACTGTGAAGCCATACCATTATGGTCCAAAAATATTTTAGATGTGAAAACTGCTTTGACAATATTCGTTGACAAATACCATCCAACAAAACTGACATCTGACTGTGAAAGTTCTTTCAAATCAGATGATGTAAAAAACTATCTGCGTTCAAAAAATGTAAACCAATATTTCATTGTCGACCAAAACCATTCTGCTCTTGGTGTCATTGACGGTTGTATAAAAATGTTAAGAGACTTAAACCAACCACAAGGTGTGAAGCAAATGAAATGTCATATGACGACAAGTATAGACACTTCTCCCAGGCAAAGATGAGACAAGTTTTAAATATTTACAATAACCGTAAACAAAAAGGTTTGGGAAACCACTCCCCCGAAGAAATGAAAAACAACCCTGACTTAGAGAAAGACTATATATTTAATAATTTAGTCAAAAGAGACAAACAAGAAAGAATGCCGGGCTTCAAACTTCAGAAAGGTGACAAAGTAAAAATAGAAATACCTAAACGCGACCCATATGAAAATACTATTGACTATGACAACAATGGGAACCCGACAGGTACTCACATTCGTGTTCGTAAAAATAGAAGAAAGTATACAAGAGAATATTATGAAGTTTTAGGCAAACATGGCAAAATGTACACACTGCAAGCAGAAGATAAAACGACTATTGTCAGACCTCGTTTCAAACTTGTCAAAGTTCAAGGTGGTATACTTTCAAAGACAGTTCCTAACAAATATAAGACAACTCCTGACGAATATGCTAAAGAAGTTGAAAATGACGACTAAGCAATTCTATACCATGCGTAAACTGTCATGTAAGGTGGCATGTAGTCTTTACTTTGTCCCGTTGTTTGCGTATATCCCGAAACGCGATGTGTATGGTTTCCTCCTCCCTCAGTGTTACTCCAGTAACAATTTATAGCAAACTTAACGTTGTCTTTAACATCATATCCTTTACCTTTTGTCATTGCTGACCAATCCCAATATCTATGCTTATGCCAACCTGCTTGAGATGTACTTAAATCTATGTAGTGACTGTGTGCAGGTAAATTTTCACCTGAAATCGTTTTACTTCCACCTGTTTCCTTTGAAGAGTTTGCACAATACAAAAACCTGTCGACTATTTGAGTCCAAGTTCCAAAACCAAGTACTACTTCTGGTCTGGTAGAGTTCATTGACGTATAAATAGAGCCTATAGGATATAATGTTTGAAGTATTTCTGTCTTTAATGTTTGAAGCTCTGTTTTGTCAGCCTTCTTATCTAACATTGCTGGTAGTTCATATGCTTCAAAGTTTCTGGCATGACTTTCAATGTTCCTGCAACTGTTATCTAAATTGTTTAGTGTATCTTTTACGCTTGTACTTGGATTCTCTAAAGGTGCACTTGAACCAAGGTCAAAGTTCAATATTATGTCGTCTGCTGTAAAAGTTGTAAAACTTGTATGTGTATGAGTCTTATCCGCCTTCTTCTCTAACTCATTGTTAACATAAGTTTTATCTGCTTTAAGGTCTAAACATCCTGAAACCCATCCTGTATCGGCTTTAGTTTTAAAAATCTTCGATGTCCATTCATGGTACCATTCAACCCTTTCTTTAATTTCATTATCTTTTTCATCCACATATTCCTTATCTGCTTTCTTCTCTAACGCACTAGCCACACATTCCTTATCCGCTTTCTTTTCAAGGCTAACGTTTAAGTCTGTTATTTCAGATATAGAATGTGTATGAGTCTTTTTAGAATATTCGTTTTCAGCTCTTGTCACTTCACTTGACATTTTATTGTCAACATATTTTTTGTCTGCTAGTTCAGGATGAGTATGTTCTTTTGTTGCATAAGCATTGTTAGCTCTTTCTTCTTCTTTTGCTATTGCATCGTCTACATATTCTTTGTCAGCTTTGTTGTCAACATCTGTTTTCAAAAGAAGTTCATTTATAGGTTTCTCGTTTAAAGTTCCTTTTGTTGGATTTATACAGACAGTATTGTTCTTCTTGTCTTGAAACAGAAACTCATCTGTCATTGGGTTTAATGTCAGTTTTAAGTTTCCTTCTTTCAATGACTCAGATATCTTAGAATAGTTTGAAAAGTTGTTGTGTTCTTATTTAGAGCTTGCATAATGAGTTGTCGGTTGTGTTGTATTTCTCTTATGGAAGCAATATCTTTCGACATTTTTATTCTAGATAAAATATGCTTTCAATAGAAAAAGAAAATTCAAGAGTTGCTACAACTAAACCATTAGATGAACTTTTTACTAATGTCGGTCAAAAGTTTGAGACAGAGACCGTAAAGCATGAAGGCTATCGTTTTGACTACCCATTAAGATGGCTAAGAGACCCATCTGTCACAAAAGCTATTGGCTTTCGTAGAATGAAGTTCATTTCAGAAGCCATACATGGTTTCCCATTTACGGTCGGTTTTGAAGTTCGATACTATAACAAAGAAAAACGTATGTATGAGAAATTTGAACAGGGAAAACTTTTACAAGTTAGTTTGCTTGTAAACTTAGAAACAACTCTTCAAGCTTTTCAAGAAAAAATAAACGATATCTATATCGAATATGCAAACCAGTATAACATTGACGAGGGAGAGTACCATCTCGATATTATTTATGACAGGAAAAATGCAACTGTTAAATCAATAAAATAGAAGACCTTGGAAAAACGTTTATATTTCTACAAAATATAACAACTTGGCATGGTATAGATTTATGAGGATGTTTAAATCAGCCTGCAGCATATCCAGTACACCCAGACTTTTATGAAGTCGAAAACCCTAATGGAACATATGAAAATGTTTTCGACCCAGCTGCTATTATTGTTCATGCTTCATTTTCTGGCGCCCAAAACTCTTTCTTATGCTTGGCAAATGACTTTTACGAAAAACCTACAAAGTTATACGAACCACCAAGTGGAAGTATTTCAGACTTTCAAGTATGGTTTACTACAGATGGAAGAAAAAGAATAATTCCATTATACCATGCGTTTTACTTAGAACTTAGTTTCATATACAACTACTATCGAACGGTAAAAATATAATTTTTAATACGGTTGAGGTGTTGGATTTGGTTGCCAACTAGACTGTGGTGCAGGTTCAGGCTGTTGTGTATAACAGGAGCTTGCTCTTCTGGTTCAGGGTCTTTAGGTATAATACCAACAAACTGACCTACTCTTTTACCAATATTTTTGACTCCGTTCCAAATTCCTCTTCTACGGTTTTTATTCCATTCCATATACCTCTTCCAACATTTCGAAAGAAGTTTCCAATACTACTGAAGAAACCCATTTTACTATATGTAAAAATCTAATGTCCGCCTAGTCTTTTGCGTTTCCTGTTGAGTTCCATAGCATTCTTTAACTGGAGCTCATACATTCTGTTTCTCCTCTGGTAGAAAACATATTCTGGGTCAACTCCTGTGTTCGCGTCATCTGCATAAAGTTGTTTATATCCCACTTCAGGTTTGTATAAAACTCTTTCCATCTCATATTTGCATACCATGGTGGCAAACCTAACGCAGCGTCATTTGACATGGCAGTTTGCATTTGTACATCTGTTGGCACTTGACCATAGTTTGCCATTGCAGTTTGTATTCTAACTTCATTTGGAATATTCTCTGGGTTTGGTTGTCCAGGTTGCTGTGCATTCGCTAAGTTCTGTGCGTCCATTTAATATTAGATAAAAATATCTCTTACGAGTACATATACTGAACATTTGCAGGCATTGGTTCATCTTCATATTCTCTATATCTTTCTGCCACGTCAAAGAAATAAATGACACAATGGAAAAAACCTAAAACAAGTAGTCCTATTTCAAACCACATTTACTTACTAATAAAATTTCTTTGTTATGACACTTTCTCCGGTTTATAGGACCTCTCTCATATTCTATCTTGTCATATCTAAACTCATAGTCATGTATGTCCTCTAACCATTTCATGACACTTTCTAAACCACTTTTATCGGATGTAAAGTAAAAGCATGGATGGTTATGTAAAACGTCTAAGTTTCTAAAGAGTCTCTCAAAGTCCAGTCTACTTGGTATTGAAAATCCCATGTGTTATAGAACGGCGGGTCCACTATAAAGAAAACATTTTCCTTGTCTTTATATTTTTCATACAACTCTGTCCAATGACATCTCACAAACTCTATACCCTCAATATATTTTTCTATGTCCTCTTTGAAAACATTTGTATAGTTAAGATATAAAACTTTTGACATAAGTGTTTCAATGTCATGAACTCTTATAGAACCACTATATAATAGTCTAGCAGATATACTATCCCAGTCTATATATTCTGCTTTTTTCAAAACCTCTCTCACAATATTTTTGTTATCTAATGGTATACGTTCCATCTTACCTATAGGTATCTTTTCTTTTAACTCTTTCAATATATTGTTTGTGTCTGGAATATGTTTGAGACGGTCCATATAGTTGTCGAAGTCATTGCATATAATCTTTGAGTCTGGGAATATTGTATGACATAAATGGGATATATAGAAACTTCCACCGAACAAATCTACAAATGTTAGACCATTCGGTAGTTTCTTAAGTTCTCTCAATATAATATCTTTACATCTACTCTTATTTCCAAAGAACGGTAACGGTGGTTTTGTAAAATTCATTTATATATAATAATAAAAATGTTTTTACCTGAAAAGTGACAGAAAAGTGACAAAACATGAAAACATATATAATTTGTGAAAAGCGACACATTATATAATGTTTTCGACCCAGAAGAAGGCTTCTTCCCAGAAGCAATGGAGGAAGAAGAAGAGTCCTCCGAATTCACACCAGAAGACTAACAATTTTCCGAATAAAAACTTCATTTATACTAAACATCTTCGGGGCTAGAGGGCACGAAGTGCCTGGAAGCCCCACTACCTTTTTAATAGAATTTATATACTATTCATCTATTAGTAAACACTACCGTATATTATTTTTTAAGCTATCTTATTTTTTGAACTTTTATTCAAATCTTTGGTCGCAAGAAGAATTGCATGATAAATAAAAACATTTAATCAAAGTCAATTTTATTTTTCATATTCAAATGGACTGAGTGTTAACATTTAACATTTTTTGCTAATTGTCGTCAAAAATTAGGCGTAAAGCAAAAATTGATATTTCATATGGTTTTATGATAGATAAGCATTATATTCCCACTCATTATATTCGTAAATTTTGAGGTTTATCCTTCGCTTTTAAGATCATTGAATTTGATTTTTATATAAAATAGTTATATATTAGAAAATAATATGAGTTTATGTGATATTATTTTTCAGAAGATTTTGTGTTCTTCTTCAAAATTTTATTTTTTTTATTAAAAAGAATCTTTACAAAATATACATTTACTTTAATTAATATTTAAAAACGTGCTCTATCAAAAGTTCCAAAAATTCAATATTTTAGCTTTTCTGAGGTGTCACTTTTGATGAATTTCTGTTTACAACATTTTTTCTATTTATTTTGTTCTAAAATTCTAAATATTTTTTTTTCATAACATAAAATATGATGTCTAGTCTCATTTACATAACAACATGCCTTAGAATAGGTTTTTTATTCTTTTTGTCACTTTAAATTAAGAATAAAAAGATAATTTAAATTGAATATTTGCGATTATTCTCACTAATGCTGCTTCCTCTTTTATTAGGTAGACAACAAAAAGTTAGCCTTGGACTCCCATATCAGATTTTTGATTGGTTGCGTATATAATGAGCTGGGATTGATAGACGAAAACCCAGTGAGAAAATTTTTGACGCCGATTCAGAGAGTCCTATCATTCATCGAATCATTGGTAAAGTATCCTACAACGATATTTAAAAACATAATTCTAATTTAATTAACCTGTTTATTATACGAATATTGCAATTTTTGCTTCTAATTCCGGAAGAATTTGCTGACATTGAGAAAACGAATTAATTTTGTAAAATATAGAGTGTGTGTGAGAAGAAAATATTATATCATATGCGAAGTGATTTTGTGGAAAAAATTTTCATGGGGATAGAAAATTTGACATCGGCATTTTACGACAAATGAGAATATTATTAGGCATATTATGAAGAATAAAAATTTCTCCATGACGATGAATGTACGATTAATTCAAATACAAATAATTGACAGGCTTCACAGTATTGAAAATATGACCAATCATTGAAGAAAAATTGATATGAGAAAAAATCAGTTCATTTTCATCCATGGCTGTTTCATACAAGTCACTTGGTCTCGTCAACTCAAAGGACATCTTCGCCAAAGCAGTTAACGGCGGCTACGCTATCCCCGGCTACAACTTCTCCAACCTCGAACAACTTCAAGCCATCATCACCGCCTCCGTCAAGACAGAATCCCCAGTTATTCTTCAAGTTTCTGCTGGTGCTCGCAAGTACGCCAACCAGACAATGCTCCGCTACATGGCTCAGGGTGCTGCAGAATTTGCTAAGGAAATCCACCCAGAGCACAAGCTCATCCCAATCGTTCTCCACCTTGATCACGGTGACTCCTTCGAACTCTGCAAGTCCTGCATTGATCTTGGCTTCTCATCAGTCATGATCGATGGTTCCCACCATCCATACGACGAGAACGTCGCTCTTACAAAGAAGGTTGTTGAGTACGCTCACTCCCGCCCAGACTACGTCACAGTCGAAGGCGAACTCGGCGTTCTCGCTGGTGTTGAAGATGATGTCAAGGCTGAAAAGCACACATACACACGCCCAGAAGAAGTTCAGGACTTCGTTTCCAAGACAGGTGTTGACTCACTTGCTATTGCTATCGGCACATCCCACGGTGCATACAAGTTCCCACCAGGCACAAAGGCCGAAATCCGCCTCGACATCCTCCACGAGATCGAGAAGAAGCTCCCAGGCTTCCCAATCGTTCTCCACGGCTCATCCTCCATCCCACAAGAGTACGTCGAGATGGTCAACAAGTACGGCGGCCACATGCCAGAAGCCGTCGGCATCCCAGAGCACCAACTCCGTGAAGCCTCCAAGTCTGCCGTCTGCAAGATCAACATCGACAGTGATGGCCGTATGGTCATGACCGGCACCATCCGCCGCCTCTTTGTTGAGCACCCAGACTGGTTCGACCCACGCCAGTACCTTGGTGAAGCCCGCACAAAGCTTACCGAGATGTACATGCGCAAGGACCAAGAAGTTCTTGGCTGCGCAGGCCATGCTTTCGACTAAATAATATTCTATCTCGATTCTTGTTTAAATCATTAAATTTTTATTTAAATAACTTTAAAATTTAAGCAAACATTTCCCTAATTTTACTTAATTTTAGCAGATAATGACTGAGTACTCTGATTTAGTCATCACCTACTTCATACCTCACTCTATCCCTTTCTAATGACAACTCTACAATTCCAAATTTTTTTCGAAATTCTATTTTTCATATAAAAAATTGTTGAAATTTCCTTCAAAACTCAAATTTTGAGAAAAATTTGGAAGATTTGGAAAAATTTATATCTGTAATTTGAAACATCTTTACGAATACATTCAGGTTTATTCACATTTCTCATAACTAATTCAAATATAAAATTATACAAAGTTCAATAATAAGATTAAAAGAAAGCTAACTTACTAATATAATCCACCTTGAACCTCAACTCGTTTATTTAATATGATTACTGTCTTAACGCTTATAGATCTTTAATTATTGAATCAATTTTGATCAAATTTAATTTAATCATGTACATTTCTGGATTATTCAAATATAAAACACTTTTAAAGATGTTTATATCCACAATATATTTGCAACTACTGTTATATTTTTGCGAATATCTGTATTCTTTCAAACTCTCAACAATAATACACAAAAGCTGTATATGTGTAAAATCGAGAAATCATATTCGTTTTTCAGTTCGAAATTCTATATTATTTGTATCTCAGAATGGAAGAGTCAGAATCTCATATAATCTTCGAAGTGTTCTTGATGGTGACCATGCTTTTCGCAATAGGAGGAGCGAAAATGATGAAATTTATAAAATTTTGTTTTTCGATGAGTTTCAAGAAGAAATTTTATGAATTGAGTTTGTAGCATGCAATATCTGTGGGTACGCAATTCACCTGATTAGTATAATTCGATATCTCTGTTGTTCTTTTGAAGAGAAGAAAGTTCAAAAAAATGGCCGTTTTCAATTTTTTTCTATTATTGGAACATAAAAATGCAAGGAAAAGACCCAAAAAATGTCTTCTACTTCGCGGGTAACTCTAAGAACCCATTTCAAGCATTTTCGATGGCAGAGGATGATGTACCAGATGACTATCCACAATATCCTCTCACAGGATATGTTCCTGCAGAGAAAATGATTTTAAGAAACGATTACAGGTACACTGCTGAAAAAACTCGCGCTTTTACAATAGGAAATCAAGCAGAAACAGCTTTCAGATACAATAAACTCGATGATTGCAATAAATTGGCCATGCAATCTTGGAAAATGGATGCAAGCATGATTGATGCTTATAGATCAAGCATCCTTGGATTTAAGCTATTCCTTGATAACGATGCTGTTACAAAAATCTGTGCGATGCGCGAAGTTTTGTATTTTTCAAGATTTTATTTCCAGGACATCATTAGAAACAAAACACCTAACTTCTACGACTATGCTTTAGGCCGCCCATACCTTCGTTGTTTGAGCGCTCTTGGATCTTTTGCTGAAATTGGCCAATATAGAGAACTTTGACTTCAAGCTTACGAAGAGCATCTCAGACTCTGCCCAACAGATAACACATCTGCTCGTCATTCATATACCGCTGCATACCTTGATTCTGTCATAGGAACAAAGCGTGGAGACGATACTTTCCCTAAGAGGACACCAGAACAATTAATGCAGATATTTACAGAAAAGATATACCCAGGAGAAGATTTCAGCCTCTGGACAACCGATAGTGAGCTCAAGAACGAAAATACGTCGAAAAGGATCAACAATGGCAGACACTTGCTAAAGCAGAAGCCAAACGCGATCCACAATTTGTTAAATTCATTCTTTTCGAGGAAGATTTAAACTGCAATCCAAACGATCCATTCGACAAGAACGGTTCTACTATTCAGACTACAATCTTCTCATGCCAGTTTTCATCAGAGAAGTCAAGTTCCTTCCTGATTTCGCTAGAGTTGTTCGTGGCCGAGTAAATGAAATGGTTAAGCTCGTTCCTACAGCTAAAAAGGACTTAAATCCAAATAAGAAGATTTCTGGATGGAAGTCAAAAGCAGAAACAGCTCTAAACAAAGCTCGTGACTACATGAGGAGCAGAAAATTCGTTGATGGCATCAAGGCTCTGACAGAAGCTAAGGAACTCTATGATAGTAGCATTTTCCCATCAACAAGATGGGATAAAACGGAAATTCCATTTGCGATTTTCTCAAACAGAGCCCAATGCGCTGCACAGCTCCAAATGTGGAACCTTGCAAGAATTGATATTAGATGTGCACTCAGTATCAATCCAAAGATTCCTCATCTCTACAAATTACTTCCATTTGTCGCTGAAAACTTTAACTGTCCAAAGATGAAGGCAAGGTTCACCAAACTCGCAGAGGAAGCAGCCCAAGAACATGTTGACTCTTGGTGGCAAGCAATGTCCGCTAAAGTTGTCGGATATCTCTCTTTGAGAGCTTTAGTTGGCGAAAGAATCGGATTATCAGAGGTCATAATAGAAGAAGAGGCCAGCCATGGTATTCAGGATATGTGGACTCCAATTTCTTTCCCACTTGATTATCCACTTCTTCCTTGGCAGAAACCAGAAGACTTAGAGTTAGAAATCAAATGAGTAAACTTATACTATTATTTCTATATAAATTATTCCATTTTAACAATTTATTGTTTTAATTTTTACATTTATTGCTTTATAAAATCAATTCTTCCGGTAAGAAAACTTTCAAATTGGTCCATTGGTTAATATTTTCAGATTGACGAAATAAAATCTTTCGGATGTAATTTCAGATTAAATTTCTTTCATAGAAATGAACTAACTTTAGGATTATTATAATCCATATCAATCGTAGATTATGAAATAGACTTGTTATTAAAAAACACAAACAACATGATAATTTTTATTTAATACAAACAGGAATTTCACGTTCAGAGTTAATAAGGCGCATCTTTGAGCCTTTGAAACAATGTATTTGCAAATTACTTGCGAATGCACAGAGGGAATTTCTTGGTTTGATTTCTGGCTTAATTATTGGTTTGCAGCATTTGTGGAAGTTAGGTAAGACAAATCGGCAGCACGTTTCATTTGGCAACTGTTCCTTGAGATATGGAATTCTTAAGAGATCATTGATTGATGGCCTTCTGCAGGGGTTCTTCTCGAGGCACCTGCATATAAGACCTAGTAATTGCTTGTCTCTTACTTGTTCTTTTGGAAACAGACCGATATTTACTACTTGCTCCAATTTACTTTGGTCAGGAGCGTTAAATGGATATTGCTTGGTTGCCATATAATACAATGATACGCCAAGTGACCAAATGTCGGATTTCATGGCATTATACTCTTTCAGAACATACATTTCAGGAGCCATATATAATCGGGTGCCTTTTTGAATTTTACATGTCGTAGCTGTGCCATTGATAGATGACAATCCAAAATCACCAATTTTAACTCTTCCATAGTTATCGATGAAGAAATTGGCTGGTTTAATATCACAATGTGCAATGTTTCTATCATGAATGGATTTAATAGCTAAAACCATTTCTAGGGCATATTTCTTCATCTGTTCGTCGGAAAGTTGCTGTGAACTTGTGAATATATTGAATAAATCATTCTGACAAAGTTCCATGACCATGTAAATAAAGTCTCCTAAGTAGAAGACTTGATATAGTCTGACAATATATGGATCATCTATTTGCATGAGACAATCCAATTCGGAGTTAGAAAGGAAACATTTTGGAATTCTTTTGACGGCATAGTCAATGTTATATTTATTTGAATGCATTTCGAACACTATACCATACCCACCTTGTGCTATTGTTCGTACAAAGGAATAGCCTTGGTTTTGGAAAAAATCGATTTCAGCTTTATTCATTATGTATCTTTTGAATGGAGTTGTTTTCATAACGTTCACTTTCAAAAAATAACCAGTGGAAGATAAACACATATTATAGTATATTATATATGACATATTCTATGGAATTTCAATTGAAAATGTTTTAAGTTAATATCATTTTCTTTGATTGTATTCTAATGACAGAATAAAAATTAACTCGACAAATAAACAGTGACAGAAAATTGAATAGTCTCAACTTTTGACTACGCGAATTAATTTAGAAGTCTCATCACACTTTTCAATGCTCGATTTTTAAAAACTGTTTAAAAATGGAGCTTATATTGAAATAGTGTAGAGACTAAAAATTACCACAGACTATTTCAGAGGATTGAGTTGCCACTCAATCCTCTGAAAAGTCTGAGGTAATTTGCAAAATTTTATTTTAGATTTTGATAGTACATGGAAAATTAAATCGAACAAACAAACAATCTACAAAATAATGAATATCTAATTTTTTGAATTTGAATTTTGCTGTCAAATTCCTTTCAAAAATTGACTGGTAGATTTTATAAATTATTCAAAATTGAAATAATAGCGTCTAAAGTTTTCATAACGTTATAAATCTTATTCTTTGGATTTAATTAACATATGAATTGGTTACATTGCGAAGTGATTACTATCCTTATTATCATTATCAAGCGTTAGTTTTAAATAAAATTCAAATATCTCTTAATTTGGTTTTCGAGGTAAATTCTGATGCGTATTACCTTTGATAGGTACACCATGCATCGATGTATTTCATTTATTACCATTATTATTACTTTATCGCAATATATCGTTATTATTAGAAATTTATTCAAAATTCATTCGAATTCATCTTTAATGAAACTTTTTATTAAAAACATTTAAGGGTTTCGTTTTGCGAAAAAAACATACAATACGCAATTTCGCTAAAAAAACATTTAGCTAGCAATTTCGACCTTTGACTCCACTCAAGACGTCACTTTTTTAATTTTGCGGTATCATATTTTTGGAAAATCTTTATGAATATTATATAAAAAGTCTCTTTAATATCTATATTTCATATTTTTATCGATTTTTAAAGTTTTTGCGAAAAGTATTCAATTATTTTTGCTATTTGGTCGGGTAAATGTCAGATTTGCGACATTTTCTGATATGATATTCAGATTCTACGTTGATAATAATGCTTATAGAACCCTCTTGCTATTGTGTCAAAATTGCGAAACCGATAGCAAAAATATCTCGCAATATCAAAATTGAGATATTGAGTGAATTATGCATTATAGAGATTAAAAATCTGATTTGTGAAAACATCTCATCAGTTTCTAGCTAATTCAAAAATCTTTACTATCTTATTCGATTAAAATGAAAAGGGAATAGTTTCATTATGCTTTAAATGACAGTCTTATAATATAATCATAGTTTTCGCTCAATATGCAGCATTTTTTTTTCGAAATCTATGGTCAATATCCTAAATACTGATTGCTTTGCATTCATATCTCTTACATTTTCTATACACACATCACTATTCATTGCTATTCCTATCTTTTTCATTTTTGTTTGTTTCTCATAATTTCTCAAAAAACATGATAACTTGATATTTGTAAATATCATACTTTATAACGTAAATAAGAACTTGACCTATTAAGAAAAGCAGTAATGAAAAGAAAATCTGAAATTCATAAAAATTACAAGTTTCTGATGACAATTAGCTTAATTAAACCAGGTACAAGATTATATAATTGTATTTTCTATCCAATTATCCATATAATATCTTATCCAGAAAAAATAACTTGATCAATACCAAATGATTTTTTAACTAGTAAATAAAGTATTTTCTTTACACACACATTGTATATCATAGTTTTTTTTTTTTTTTGGTTTCGCAAAACATCCAAAAACAAATATGCTATAAAAGTGACAATTTTAGCAAAACGAAACCCTTAAAACATTAAAAATCTATATTATGTTCAGTTGAATACATTTTTCAAAACAAAACTTTTAATATATTAATTGAACAATAACAATTTACTCATGTTGAATTGTATCAATGATCATTTAGGAGTTGAAATATATCTGAGGGATCGATGAAATTTGATATACCTTTCTCTTGCTTTTTTTGACCAGCTATCTGCTTTTCTTCATCATAATCAAGTTCTAATTTTGTGAAGAATGGAGCAATTAAGTGCCAATTTTCTGCATACCAGCATATTAATGCGTTTTTATTTCTTTTGGCAAGTCTATCTACCCGGATCTTGAGTTCATGTGAAAACTTGTCTGCCAACTTCATTAATATAGTAGTCGTTGCATGCCCTCCTAGTTTTGATTTAATGATCTCATTCACCAAATCAAATTTGATTCCATTTGTTCTGATTCGAGATCTAATGTCATTATGATCTTTAAGATTGTTCATTGTTTCGCAATTGAACTTCCTGAGCTTTCTGGTGGAGAGAATATCTTTGATATAGTCCATATTTGAAAATGATTTATTTTCAAAAGTATTCAAAAATCTTCATTATTTTGATTTGATTTATTATTCCAATACATGTATAAATATAAAAATATTTGTTCTTAAATAGATTTTACTTATGACTTGCTGTTCTCATTCCCCATTAATTAGTCCGCATTTTTATCATTACTGAAGACGGATTATGATTTTATTTTTCAGAAGCAGGTTTTGAGATGTTGCTTACGGTTAAATAAAAAATTGAATAGAATATCTGAATATTTTTGAGAACTTTCAATTTTTTCATACATCATAATATATATTACTAACTCATTAACATGTTATTTACAAAATTAGAGACCAATACCCACAATTTTAATTCAGTAATGAATTTGTGAATTTTGAGAATACATATTTCCTTTTATAAAATCTTTCATGCACCTCACTCACAAACCTTTTTTCTCCAATTTAATTCCTGTAATTTTTTTCTGAGTTCTCAATTTCTATTGGACCAGGTTAAGGGTGCACCCGTATGTACGTTTATTTGAGAGGAGGAGGATTACCCTCTCAATTTTGAGGGATTCGTTAGTTTATTTTCTCGATGAATATGCAATAAAATTTGATTTTTACCTTATCAATATACTTCATATAATATACACATGTTCATGGGTAAAAACTTTTTTCCAAAATCCTCAGGAATTAAGGGATTTTTTGAATTTTAAGAAATTTTTTCGAATTTTTTCGAAAAAAAAAATATTTCAGAACAGCCTTAACGGCTAAGATTTAGGAACAATGTTAAGTATCAAAAAGAAAGGAGGTCTGATATAGACAACATATATCGTTGAAGGTTGAAAAAATCTCTAATATTTGAGCCCAAAATTTCAAATTTTAATTTTTTTGAAAAAGGAGGCCACCCGTATGTACGTTTATTTGAGAGGAGGAGGATTATATTTTTGAAAGGGTGAACATTATGAATATGTTAATTATATAATAATATGCATTATTATAAAAAAGAAAAAATAAAGCACGTTAAAATTTTTCTTTCTTGATTTTTTATAAAATCTACTTAGAATTATGCAAAATATGACTAAATAATTATAAATTTCAAGTTAAATTTTAATTTTGATAAATAATTTAAATTTCAAAATATCAAGTTCAGTTCAACTATGTATGTAGTAATTCCTCAATAAAGTGCCAAACCCTATTAAAATATATGAACATTTTCAACATTTTAATGTTTTTATTTAAAAATTTGATGGAATATGAGCTTCAAACAATTATTATGTAAATAAAAATAATTAAATATATGTATTTATTCGTATTACAACCGTAGTAAGTCGATTCTTCCTTTCTTCTACTGAGGTTTGAATTTGATTTCGAATTGTAAAGAGATTCAAAGGGAAAATACTAGCGGATAAAAACTACCTCCATGAAAGGGTCATAATGGAGTCAAGTTGTATTTTTTGATATTTTTTGCTTTTCGAGCCTAAATAGGTAGCCAAGATAATGCCTAAAAATAAGGTTCTAAATTCTGAAGTTTACATGATCCTCTCGTGTGCACCCTTAATATCTAACTTTTTACTTTTTCATAATTTCAAAAGGAAACAATATAAACTCTAAAGAATTATCAATTCGTCAATATTCGGATCTTTTTCCGTATTAATTCAATCATAAAACCTCATTTAAACTTGTTGGCATTTATATTTTCATTCACTCTTGAATCAATATAACTCAGTGTCTTAATTTATTGCAAAAAAACTTAAATTATAAATCTACCTAATATAACAGGGAAAATCTAATATGTTCCTACTAATAAAATTGTTTCATTACCTAAATATTTTATTTGAGCATTACAATGAGTTTCAAAGCACTCCTGAATTCCATAAAATATCGAGAAGAAGAATTAAAATTCGTTTCTTCACATGGATATCCAATAAACTATTATAGTTATTAATTAATATCTCATTAAACATTCGCTAAAGAATATGTCGAAACAAGCATTTATTCAATATTTATAATACTGAATTGAATCTTTAAAGCACACATTTGATCAAAATCCCATCAGGAATTCACAAAATACTTCATCTATTTCAATATTATTTCGGCAAATACCAAATTTGAGCTTGAATATATATTGTAATTATTATTGGAAATTCAGCATATCACCACTTGCCACAACCACCATGATAAAAAAAGAAAAATCTTGATTTTGATGTAAATGAATCGATAAAGCAAGCAATTTATTAGAATCAAGAATTCAAACAGGTCAGCCATATATGAACTTGGCTTATATATAAACTTTAGTTTAAAAATGTTAAAAAATTTATATAATATTTCTTTATTTCGAATGAAACAATCTTTAACAAACAATATAACAAATAATATTAAAGGATGATTTCCAAATTCCAAGATGATGAAAAATCAATATGAAATATTCTATAAACACCGTTATCTTGGTTTTTGGAACGCAAAAATAACTTATATTCGACGAGGGACATTAACATGCGAGGATAAGAGCATTTTCCAAAAAAGGAAAAATACTAACGAGATAATTTTTCATTTTGTCCCAAATTAATGAACGATTGTAATATAGCAACAAAAAACAAGGGTGAATATTATTTTATCCAAAAAACCGGCAAAGGTTCCTTAGATAATACTCTTGGTATGTCAGTGATCGTAGTAGTATGAGCTATAGCTGGTTTTGAGTTTTCTATAGCAGATACACTTGATAATAAACCGCGGAGCGCGCTTGGTTTTGCTTCTATGTGGCGCATTGTAACATCTTTCATTCTGAGGTATTCTCTTAGAAGAGATAATGAGTTAATGAACCTAGAGTGATCAGAAATCTTTGAATCTTTGATAGAGGCATGCTGCCAGTACAATGACCCGACTTGGACTAAAAATGTTGGGTCGCTATAGGTAACAGCAATGATCGAATCATTATCTTTGACAGAGTAAAACGAAAACGGCCTCGATTCTAACATTATCTGTCCATTAAAATAGAATTGTCGATGATTCAATGGAAACATCTTTTGGAGAACTCTAACTTGCTGAGAAAGCTTGACTATGACCATTCTTGAATCTCCGAGCGGAGAAAGTAATGTAAGCGTGACGCGAGGATCAGTTTCCATTTACGATAAAAAATTTTTTATAAAAATTTTACAATATAATTGCTTACACTTACTATCGGTAAATAATTTCTATAAGTCAAATAGTATAGATTGCCAAAATTTTAAAATTGTAACGATTTCGGCTCAAAATCGTTGCGTAGTCACAAAATTTTGTGAACATGATAAAATACAAGTTTTGCATTTTATATTCTCGTAGTTTGGTATCAAAGTAATATTCAGAATAATCGCTTTTCTTACAATTCCAAAATAAAATAATAAAAATCAATAATAAGTGAGTGTGGATCAAAAATTAATGGAAAAGTTTATTGCACGTTATTGCGTTCTAAAATTGAATTCAAGAGTAAACCATTAATAAAAATATCAGTCTATTATTAATATACACATGAAAATTATTTTTATTTATATTTTATGTTTCAAATGACAGCCAATGATCCACTTTATTGTTTTCGATCAGCTTGTAGCCAAATGCTTGGCATTAAAGGTTTATCAATCCCAAATAACAAATAAAATATTAATTCTCGCTCAAAAAGATACGAAATGGGAAATCTATTGCTGGATATTGGAACTGCAAAGTTTCACTTAAATTTGAACTTATCAATATAAACCGATTCAGATGATTTGAATACATTCGAGAAAAGAGAGTTAATTAAGCATAAAACAATATACAAACAAAATTTTATTAAACGCATATAAAAAAAACTCTATATTTTGACCAAGCTTGAATTAAACATGTTCGGAACAGATCGGAACTTGGGAATAACTTGTCTCGAACCGATGCGAGGTTTCGCAACAATAATATTATTTTTTTGGGATAATGTTTTGGTGATTCCGGGATGTGGCGTTGAAAAGTATGGATGGTGGATTAGCTCTTCAATGGAACATCGTGATTCTGGTTTAACTTGAAGACATTTCGAAATCAAATCTCTTAATTCAGGATCACGAATCATATCTTTTGCATAGTTGCATTCTATAATGTTCTGACGTAAGCCATGTTCATCAGAACCGAAAAATGGATATTTTCCGGTTGCGACGTAAAAAATGGTAACTCCAATAGACCAGATGTCGGATTTTATAGGATCATACTCATCGCTTTCTAATATTTCTGGAGATATATAATTTAAGGTTCCTTTCATACCGATATTACAATGGTTTCGAGATGAGCATATTGTTGACATGCCAAAATCGCCAAGCTTCATCCTGCCATATGAGTCAATTAAGAAATTGGAACATTTAATATCGCAATGAGCAATTTTTCGATCATGACAAGCTTTAACAGCATTTACAATGTCACTAATGTATTTGTGTAAATTGACCAATTTGCTTCGATCAATTAGGAGTCTTTCGAGGTCAAATGGACAATACTCCATTAATAAGTAAATAAAGCCTTCGAATTCGTAAAATTTGTATAACCGGACAATCCTTTCGTCATCAATAAGCATTAAGCATTCAACTTCTGTTTTATTGAAGCTAGCCTTGGAAATCTTTTTAAGAACAAAATATTCACGATAGACAGTTGAGTAAACATAATATATGATTCCATATGAGCCATAACCAATCACATCAATGAATTCCAATTGTTGCTTTCTAAAGAATTCAATCTCTTGAGGGTTCATTATATGGATAGTAAAGGTAAAATATTGAGAATGCTGGACCATTTAAATTGAGAAGGTATCTCAAAAATTGTGGAATAAATTGTGACGAATATGCATTTTTTCACAAGAGAATTTTGAATAGTTCTAGAAAAGGAAAAGTCTAAGATATCATAATAACGCATATATATCAAATACGTAATATGAAAATCATCTTCGTTACATTACTAAATTGAATTCTTTTCTGAAAAAATAACCATGCCCGTGCTTTAATTTATTTGAGTATTATTAATTTAACATTTAAAATACTATGTAAAAAAGTATTTTTACGTTTTTTACATAGCATTAGTTAAAATAAAAAATATTATTTGCATTAATGTGTAGATTAATAATATCGCTTTTATCAAAAATCAAATTGAAAAACGAATAATCAAATATTTGCAATATTTCATTTTAAAAATACGAATACAAATTTGATTTGAAAAAGAAGAATCGGATAATTATAAAATACTCGTTAGTTTTCCAAACGGTTTTTCTTTGAAACAATTGCCAGGTTATTAATTTGAAATAAATTAATCGCGAGTAGATTTAACAAAGTTCTCAGCTATTGCTAATCCAATTTTTCATATCACTTTTTATATTCGTTTTAAACGTTTCAACGACATCAAATTCTTCTTCTAATGGTTTGGATATGAATCACTGTTTTATAACATCATTAAATATCATCAAATATGAAAAGCATATTGTTTTTGCCAATATTTTTGAGTAAAATTCTGCCTTTTTGTCTTGTCATCGAATTTCAACTAAAATTGAATTGATACCAACAGCACGATGAACTTCAATGATATTTTCTCACATTGTTTTTCTATAATGTTGTTATTGCCAAAATTTTATGGCATCAAAAATAAGTATCTGTTAATTTGGTTTATTTGCTTGAAATATTTGGTCATGTGATTTAAAAAATAAAGGGGAAAAAAAAGATTATTTTAAAATTTAATATTTAATTAACTGAAAATTAATAAAGTATTGGAGTAATAAGTGTCATATATCAATGAAAAGTGAATGAATATAACTTCCTATCTTAAACAAAGAGAATTATTAATAAAATAAATTTTGAAATTAATTCCATGAAAGATCAATTGTGCTTGATTGAGCATTTCTAAAGCTTTCTGTTGGTTTACTCGAAAGCTCTCTTTGAGAACGAATTAACTCAAATTCTGGAATATTGTAACTTTTCTGGTATACAGTCTTAAATCTTGTCTTATTTGGATCATAAAATCTTGTGTTAAGTGTATCAAATGTTTTTGAGTGATCTAAATCTCTTGTTGCTGTTTGAGTTGAGCCCATCGCCAGTTTTCTGCGTTCTGCTTGTGCAACCTTCTTTTTGAGATCTTTCATTTGAGAAATCTTTGCTTGGTCTGTATCTAATTTATATGTAGATGCTACTGGAGTCTTATCGTTATATGTGAGAGCTGGATTTTTATCGCGTGCAGAAACATGCAAGTCAACAGTCATGTCTTTGATGTCGACTGTTCTCTGAGTGTATTCTTGGAGGTTTTGGCGTTCTTCCCACCAATTACCGACGAGAGTTCTGTTACCGAAGTTCTTCATTAAAAAATACGTTATAAAGAATTTTTTTTTATCATACGAAGTGGTTCATAAGAACAGCATAAAGTTTCAATATTAGAACACATCTCCGCTAGCTTTTGAATAGTGTTGGCGAAACCAATCATCCTGAGCCTTATAAATGTCTGAGAATTTTTCAAATATATCTTCCACTATATCACATGATATGTATGTTTTGAGATTGCAAAATGTATACAATTATTGCATGCATTTTAAGTCAGCATAGGAATTGTATTTCTGATTAAATTGAAATTCAAAATTTTATTGGTTTACATATATCCTATATAGCAATTATATTTTCCATCTTTGCATATCTTTAATGATTGACTTGAGGAATAATGAGGGTGAGAATTCGTTAACTATCTAACGCCTTATTTCTCACTTTGGAATAGTGTATAGAGCCTTGTTAACATAATTATATATGATTTACTTTTATAGAGAAAAGTCTTCATCCTCTTAATATATGTGAAACAAAGTAATTTATTCTATTGCTACATCTTTGTTATGATCGATCAGACTCTTAATGAACGAATAGCTTCTTCCTTTATAGTATAACTCAATTTCATAGCAAAACAGTGTTCTATGTATAACCCTTTGAGAGATTAGATTACATTATGATTTTTGATTTGTTCAGATTCTCATTGAAATAAAAATTGTATTTAAAACAAAGACATGGTATTATCATTTACAAATAACATGATAAAACAGACAAAGAAAAATAAAATATTGTAATTCAACGTGGTTCCGGTGTTCTGGAAAGAATGAGCCTTGGTTTTCCAAGTTTGTGAGCAATGGCAATCAAATGTGATGGAGAAGATCCGCGTAATGGCTTAATTTTGAGCTTTGGATGGACAATTTGATGGCTTCTTGTGCAGCTATCAAGTCTATTAAGGATAATGTTGCTTTCATTGAGCTTGATTGGCTGAACTTCCTTAAAGAATCTGGAATTGAGGAGTTCATCAACTGTTGCTCTCTCGTTTGGATCAATTTCCAAGCATCTTGCAATTAATTGTCTCAATAATGAATCATCTATGATGCTATCGGCATAAACTCCTCTCAAGATTGATTCGGTGAGTTTTGATAAATCTAATGAGAAGAATGGAAGAGAGAACGTTGCAAGGTAGTAGAGAGTGACTCCTACTGCCCAAATGTCGGCAGCCATTGGGTTGAATGTTCTGTCCTTGACCATCTCTGGGGCCATGAAAGCTCTTGTTCCCTTAAATGTGGTGCTGGATGGATCCTTTGTAAAAATTGTAGACAAGCCAAAATCAGTGATCTTAACGCGACCATACTTGTCAAGTAAGAAGTTACTTGGCTTGATATCACAGTGAGCAATTTTTTGGTCATGGCAGGCCTTAACGCTTAGCAACACCTGATGGCAGTACTTAACAAGAATGTCATGAGGTAATGATTTGACATCTTTCATTAATCTATCTAAGTCATTCGGGCAATATTCTAAAAGCATATAGATGTTGCCCTCAAACTTGTAGTAATCATATAGATTAACAATATGAATGTCGTCTAACCTCTTAAGGCATTCTATTTCTGTCTCATTAAAGCAATCGCATGGTACCTTTTTAAGCACAAAATTGCACTTGTACTTGGTACTGTGAGCTAGGAAGACTTCACCGTAAGCTCCACGTCCAATAAACCCGAGAAATTCGATTCCAAGAGATTGAAAGAACTGTACCTCCTTCTGGTTCATCTTAAAAAATAATAATGAATTTTTTTCGAAATTGTGAAGAAGAATAGATTTGATAAATATTGACATATAGATGACTTCCAATGGATTTTAACAAGAATATATTTTGAATGAGAATTTTTGAAAGAAAACATAAATGAGAAATTTAATGTATTTGATATGAATTCTAATATTATTGATCAATCAAATTAATAGATTGAAAAGGGTACGTTTGAAATTCTTCAGAAATCAATGCATTAATTAAATATGAAAAATAGTATTGTAACAAGAATCTAAACCAATTCGTATCAACAAAAAAATCGAATTGAAAACTTGTTTTCAGAATATTTTGTGAATTGTAAACTAAATAAAAGAAAAATGAAAAGAATTTTTGTAAAAGCAAAAAAAAGTTTATTTAGATATATCCAATTTTGCATTTATAGTAAGAATTATTTTATTCCAATTTTTCATCATCAAATCTTATCAAATAGTTTATTTTGATATTTTTAGATATTCGCCTTAATTTGCATTTTGCATTAGATATCTCCAATTGGTCATTAATTCGCATTGAAAAAATTCGGCTATTGAAATTCAATTACAGTTTTTTGTTGATTCAATAAGATTTGATAGTCAAATGCATATCTCCTCTTATTATACAATTATTTGACAACAATAACAAAAAAAATTATTGAATAGTTTATAAACACATTGAATTAACCCTATTCATTCTAAGTTTATAATTTATTTTAAATATATTTGAATCATTCCGAACTACAACATTACTGATTATATTCAATAAATTTGTAAATTTTAATAATATGCTCATAAATACTCTATTATTATATTTTGCTATTAAATATATTTTGATTTTTTCAAATAATTATTTTTCTTTCAATTTTTACGTTTCCCTCTTTCTTTTTTAAATTTTGATGTTATGCCTAAAAATATGTGAACGTTCAATTACAATCGAATTTTTATAAAATCTATTTCCTTCCGAATTGCAACTAATTGGTCATTCATTGCCCGAAGTCAATATAACAAGTAGATCTTTATTTAGCTTTTCTATATTCATTTACAAGTTACAGAGTGGATTTTCATGACAATATATTTATTTTTTGTGTATCCAGCTAGAATCTAAATATTTTTATCTGAATGAGCATTTGTTGCAGTATATTATGTTAATTTTCCATCCTCTAACAGAGGATACCTTGGTAAAATCAAAAACATCATTTGAATTCTGTTAAAAACTAAAATTAAATATTAACGAATAAGTAATTCCATTATTTTCAAGTGGAATTAATCTCTGGAATTATTACGCCCCTCAAAGAATATGATTTGGTTTATTTTCTTCTTTATTATATATATTTTCTTTCATCGATTAATAGACAAGGAATAGGGATACAAGAATTGACTAATAACAAATGATTTTACAACAAACAAAAACAAAATATAAAAAATTATTCCTTTTCTTCTTTGTTATTTTCATTATTATTTGGGTCTTCTACATTGTTAGTATTATTATTTTCGATAGGGCTATCGGGCTTCCCTAGTTTCTCTTTAACGGTCTTTTCAATTGCTGTTAATCTGTCGGTATAAGTTGAATTTTCATCAACTGAAATCCCTAATGTTGATTCCATCTCTGTCAAAAATGCTAAGAGTTTTTCATTAGGAACTGATATTAATGGCTTCCTTGGTGTCATTACAGAACGAGCTGTTGCGATATTTTGTGTTTGGGAAGCAAATTTTACTGTTCCTCCACGCATTGATTTAGAAGAATGTAACGTTGAGCGAGGAACCATTCTTGGTGATATTTCTGGAATCTTTGTTTCTGGTATTTGTATAGAAAACATCTCTTCTGTGTTATGAAGATCATTTTCATGAATTGGTGCAGCTTCTTCTTCCTCTTCAGCTTCACTTGGAGTGTCATCACCATTAGGAACAATATTAATTGTGTATTTAATACCTGTTGCATCTAACATTTGTCTGATTTCGTTATCAAGACGTTTCATTCTGTTTAATGAATGGGAAACAAGAGCTCTGAAGTTGTAGGCTGAGTCAAGTAATGCAAGTATGTCACCACCTGCAGACTGAAGCAAACTTCTTAAGCGAATAAGTTCTGGAGTTGAAGTAACATTGGAAGGAAGCAAAATTATGTATTTATCATTAATAAGCTTGCAAAGTTGATTAGTTCTGTATTTGAGTTCAGCAAGAGCTTGTGGAGGAAATCCTTTTTCTGGCTCATTTTTCATAACCTTATTAACGGCTGTACTTAATTGATTGATATTGAATTTCACAACTTTCGCTTGAGATGCAACGCTCTCTTTGTAATATGTTTTTGTAACAATTGAGTCAGATATTTGCTGGACATTGGTATTTAAACAAGAGAAATCAGCTTTGAATTTAGCAACATGTGGTAACATCTTAACATCTGCGAATTCATTCATTTTCGAAACTATAGTTGTCCAATAATTTAACATTTTTTGCGAAAACTCAATTAGAGGAGAAAATCTACCAACACGGCGTGTTGATTCAGCTGTTTTGAAGAACAGTGAACAATTTGTAAGAAATGTTTCGAAGTTAACCTTGAAATCTGAGAACGCTGCCGATAATTCGTTAGTTGTGATTTGAGGCGGATTTTGGACAATAAACTCTGAGAAAATTTCAGTGAATTTGGTATATGCTTTCCTTATGTTTCTAAGTTCGGCTATTTCCGGAATAACTTTCAATTTTGTTTGTCTCATGGTTATTGTATGATCTTTCTCTCTTGAAAATGATTGCTTGGGTGTTGAGGAAAGCGTATGTAGTTTCCTCGGATAGTTCTCTCTACCAGATCGAACTAACGACATAATTGCTCAATAAATATTATCGAAAAGTGACAAAGATTTTAAAAAGTGACAAATTTTAGTATCTACCGAAAGAAGGGATTCCACTCTCAATTTTGAGTTTTAGCTCAAAATAAATGGAAATTTAGATTCGTCATATATTGAAGTTTCTAAATCCTCTTTTTATTTAAGCCAAATTTTCGAAAATTTTGTCAGAAAATTTTCTGACACTCTCACTTTTTGGAGATCTACGTATGACATTAAATAACTTTTTCATAAAAAAACGCAAAATTAATTCTGATCGAGCACAGTGGCAGACTCTGAAATATTTGTATTCCAATTCAAATTATATTCGCGGAAAATTTCAGATTTTTTAAAAGAGTTTCAATTTTTCATTTTCTAAACAGATTGCGAAGATTATAAATTGGTTAAAAGTAGTTATTTTTAATATCCATTCATATATATTTATATAAATTTCTAAAATTCACTTTTATTAAATGAAATATTATTTTATGGGGAATGTATACTTGTTAGTTTGTTAACGCCCTAAATATACATAATCCAAATATTTACATTATTAAATCAACAATAATGCCGGTTTTGGTTATAAATGAAAATGCATATCCTCATCAGAGAGCTAATATCATATACGAAGTCAACAAATAATATTATCTTATCAATTATATTGAGATATGAGCTGGTGTCTGCATCATTTTTCAATGAAATCTAACTCAATATCTTAATTTTTTTGAAACATTGAAGCTTTTATCTACATTTACTATCTCAAAATTTTAAAAACAGTTTTCATATTTTTAACCGATTGTAACAACTAATATTTTATATCTTTATGTATAACTATCACTAAAGGCAATTTACTGATATATTTGGTTCTAGTAATGTTAGAAATACATATGAATAGTCTTTTATACGAAAAATCATATTTTTATTAAAAGATTATCAAATGATTTCTCCAAATATTAAGCATTATTGTGAAATATAGATCGAACATATTGTAATACTGATAGTGTAGAATGATTTATACTCTAAACACTAATAATATTATAATATCATCGAAGTTAGATTATTATATCCCTACAACTTAGCTTAATTCTCGATTTAATCACGGCTTCAGTTAGTCATACTAGTATGCATTATACCCTACTTACCCCATTGATTGACACCAAATATCCAGTGTGGAACCACTTCTCTACCGAATAGAATTTGTTCTAAAATCTTGATCATTTAGAGAGTTCGGATAATATAAAGCTGCAATGATAGAAAAAAATAATCACAATGTACGCGTTTCAAAGGAGAAAAATATACGTGTTCCATGATATTTCATATCTTATCACAACAATTCGAAAGTTTACGAGAAGATTCATATTAAATTGTTCCTGAAAATACTACCTTGTTGCGACAAAGTTCAATTTTTGCAGGATATTTAAGAAACGCAATTAACTACATTAAATACTGTCATAGTCTGAAATGATTATTGACAGTGAAAGTTCGAATAAAAACCTTGATTAAAATATTGCTATTCTTTAAAATTGAAATGAAAAGTCATTAAATATGGTAATATACAAATAGGATTGCATTAGATTAGCTCAAATGAAAAACTTGATGCTAATTATAGCTAGAAAACTAATATAATACATAAGTATCATGTAATTTCATAAAATAATTCAATAAGAAAGAATATTTGAAAGTGTTTAACATAAGCGAAATATATACAATATGGAACTTTGGTAAGAATTGAAATATTGGCCTCATAAATTGAATAATTGAAAATAAAGAAATGAAATTTAAGATGAAAATGGATTGTTTTAGAATATTTTGAAATAGTGTTTAAATACAAGTTTGATGGTCGATTGAAATTATTCCTAAAATTCCAAAAATTTCTTGAAATTTCATTTGATAATTGCATTTTAACAATTTTTAAAATGAAAAATAGAATTTCGAAAAAAATTTGGAATTATAGAGTTGCCATTAGAAAGGGATAGAGTGAGATACGAAGTAGGTGATAACTAAATCAGAGTACTCAGTCATTATCTGCTAAAATTAAATAAAATTAGGGAAATGTTTGCTTAAATTTTAAAGATATTTGGAAAAAAATTTAATGATTTAAAACAAGAATCGAGATAGAATATTATTTAGTCGAAAGCATGGCCGGCGCAGCCAAGAACTTCTTGGTCCTTGCGCATGTACATCTCGGTAAGCTTTGTGCGGGCTTCACCAAGGTACTGGCGTGGGTCGAACCAGTCTGGGTGCTCAACAAAGAGGCGGCGGATGGTGCCGGTCATGACCATACGGCCATCACTGTCGATGTTGATCTTGCAGACGGCAGACTTGGAGGCTTCACGGAGTTGGTGCTCTGGGATGCCGACGGCTTCTGGCATGTGGCCGCCGTACTTGTTGACCATCTCGACGTACTCTTGTGGGATGGAGGATGAGCCGTGGAGAACAATTGGGAAGCCTGGGAGCTTCTTCTCGATCTCGTGGAGGATGTCGAGGCGGATTTCGGCCTTTGTGCCTGGTGGGAACTTGTATGCACCGTGGGATGTGCCGATAGCAATAGCAAGTGAGTCAACACCTGTCTTGGAAACGAAGTCCTGAACTTCTTCTGGGCGTGTGTATGTGTGCTTTTCAGCCTTGACATCATCTTCAACACCAGCGAGAACGCCGAGTTCGCCTTCGACTGTAACGTAGTCTGGGCGGGAGTGAGCGTACTCAACAACCTTCTTTGTAAGAGCGACGTTCTCGTCGTATGGAAGGTGGGAACCATCGATCATGACTGATGAGAAGCCAAGATCAATGCAGGACTTGCAGAGTTCGAAGGAGTCACCGTGATCAAGGTGGAGAACGATTGGGATGAGCTTGTGCTCTGGGTGGATTTCCTTAGCAAATTCTGCAGCACCCTGAGCCATGTAGCGGAGCATTGTCTGGTTGGCGTACTTGCGAGCACCAGCAGAAACTTGAAGAATAACTGGGGATTCTGTCTTGACGGAGGCGGTGATGATGGCTTGAAGTTGTTCGAGGTTGGAGAAGTTGTAGCCGGGGATAGCGTAGCCGCCGTTAACTGCTTTGGCGAAGATGTCCTTTGAGTTGACGAGACCAAGTGACTTGTATGAAACAGCCATGGATGAAAATGAACTGATTTTTTCTCATATCAATTTTTCTTCAATGATTGGTCATATTTTCAATACTGTGAAGCCTGTCAATTATTTGTATTTGAATTAATCGTACATTCATCGTCATGGAGAAATTTTTATTCTTCATAATATGCCTAATAATATTCTCATTTGTCGTAAAATGCCGATGTCAAATTTTCTATCACAATGAAAATTTTCCCCACAAAATCACTTCGCATATGATATAATATTTCCTTCCTACACACACTCTATATTTCACAAAATTAGTTCGTTTTCTCAATGTCAGAGAATTCTTCTGGAATAAGAAGCATCAATTGCTCTATTCGTATAATAGTGAAGACAATTAAGTTAGAATTATGTTTTTAAATATCATAATGAGATACTTTATCTATGGTTCGATGATTGATAGGACTCTCTGAATCGAATTTCCATATTGGGATTGGGTAAAGCATACCACATTCAGCAGAAAGATATGCAATTTTATATACAGCTTATGTTGTGAAAATCAAGTTCTTTTAATGCAGAGTTTATTCGTGTTGTCCATATTCGTTCCCAACGATCGGAATTTTTTCGAATTTTATAGATAATTGGCGATAGTATCATTATGTATATATATATTGTGAGTGGTCGCAGTTTCTCAGATTTCTCCATGACGATGAATGTACGATTAATTCAAATACAAATAATTGACAGGCTTCACAGTATTGAAAATATGACCAATCATTGAAGAAAAATTGATATGAGAAAAAATCAGTTCATTTTCATCCATGGCTGTTTCATACAAGTCACTTGGTCTCGTCAACTCAAAGGACATCTTCGCCAAAGCAGTTAACGGCGGCTACGCTATCCCCGGCTACAACTTCTCCAACCTCGAACAACTTCAAGCCATCATCACCGCCTCCGTCAAGACAGAATCCCAGTTATTCTTCAAGTTTCTGCTGGTGCTCGCAAGTACGCCAACCAGACAATGCTCCGCTACATGGCTCAGGGTGCTGCAGAATTTGCTAAGGAAATCCACCCAGAGCACAAGCTCATCCCAATCGTTCTCCACCTTGATCACGGTGACTCCTTCGAACTCTGCAAGTCCTGCATTGATCTTGGCTTCTCATCAGTCATGATCGATGGTTCCCACCTTCCATACGACGAGAACGTCGCTCTTACAAAGAAGGTTGTTGAGTACGCTCACTCCCGCCCAGACTACGTTACAGTCGAAGGCGAACTCGGCGTTCTCGCTGGTGTTGAAGATGATGTCAAGGCTGAAAAGCACACATACACACGCCCAGAAGAAGTTCAGGACTTCGTTTCCAAGACAGGTGTTGACTCACTTGCTATTGCTATCGGCACATCCCACGGTGCATACAAGTTCCCACCAGGCACAAAGGCCGAAATCCGCCTCGACATCCTCCACGAGATCGAGAAGAAGCTCCCAGGCTTCCCAATCGTTCTCCACGGCTCATCCTCCATCCCACAAGAATACGTCGAGATGGTCAACAAGTACGGCGGCCACATGCCAGAAGCCGTCGGCATCCCAGAGCACCAACTCCGTGAAGCCTCCAAGTCTGCCGTCTGCAAGATCAACATCGACAGTGATGGCCGTATGGTCATGACCGGCACCATCCGCCGCCTCTTTGTTGAGCACCCAGACTGGTTCGACCCACGCCAGTACCTTGGTGAAGCCCGCACAAAGCTTACCGAGATGTACATGCGCAAGGACCAAGAAGTTCTTGGCTGCGCCGGCCATGCTTTCGACTAAATAATATTCTATCTCGATTCTTGTTTTAAATCATTAAATTTTTATCTAAAAATTCAAACATTTCTGAAGAAATAACTTCATTCGAATATCATTTTCTAGTTCTTATCTGAAATCATATAAATTGTATTATCTAAGATCAAATAAAGCTCATTTATTATAGGAAACTTCGTCAAACATATTTTTTAATTCGAATTTCATATTTTTTTGCATTTTCACCCATAATCCAATCTGTTTTTCTAAAATTTCAAGTCAACATTTTATGTGCTTCATCTATTTTGATTTCTATTAAATATCATTTTTGAAAAATGATGACTGCTCCTATTATACAGATTGCAAATTTACCTGAAAATGCAGGTGAACAATTCCTCAGAGACTTCTTAGCTGATTATGGTCCTATTGTAAAGGTTGTAATTCTTGAACAATTAAAAAAAAATACAGCTCTGGTCCAATTAGGCAGTATTCAAAGTGCTCTTGCAGCTTGTCATGATCTAAACTATACACGTTTAAACGAAAACCAATTAGTTTTCACTCCAGCTCTTCCAGAATATATTGATTTAATAAAACAACAAGAATCAACAATTTTCATATCAGGCATTGCAGATGGTATTCATTCAGATCAACTTGCAGAAGTATTTTCCAATTTCGGAGATGTAATTACTGTAAAAATCCCTACAGAAGAAGAAGTAAAAGGAATTGCATATGTACAATATCTTTATCCAGAGAGTGCCCAACAAGCTATCGAGCAATTCAATGGAGCAGAAATCCAAGAAAGCGAAATCAATATTATGAAATACGAAAGCGTTCAGAAACATAAGAAGATCAAAAACAACTTTGACAAAACATTTACAACAATACTCATACAAAACATACCTGAATATGTTACAGAACCAGCAGATGTTGGCGCATTTCTGATTGATTACGGAACTGTCGTAGCCGCTAGAGTCGTAAAGACAGGCGCATTTGCAACAATGTCCTCTCATGAAGAAGCTGTTAAAGTTATTAAAGAATTAAATGGAAAAGAAATCGAAGGAAAAACCATTTCTGTCCTTAGAACATTATCACTTGAAGAAAAAGCAGCTTTATACTCTTCTGCTCAACAACAACAGCGTCAGTAATCGATTTTTTTGAAAATGTTTTCTTATTTCATTTAATTTTTGTAGTTTGTAAACTTATAAATTTGTGATTTATTCTTTTACTGAATAGTATTCTTTTTCAATAAAGATTTCACTTGATTTTATTTTGATTCACAAAATTCGAACTTAAAAACGATTTAAATCATCATTAAGAGGTTTAATTTGTATTAAATGGAAAATGTTTTTACATTTAAGCTGAATTTCTGTAATGGTTTATCCAAGATTAAGAATTTTCAATTCAATGAGAGCCATATATTAGTAATACCATCTCAATTCACAATATACATGAGATGAAAGTGAATAAAATTGAAGTAATCTTTACAATCACATGCAGATATCCAATAACAAATACAAATAGAGAAAATCTTGATAGAAGAATAATAAACTAATATATTTTTTACTATATTAAAATAAAAAACACGAATCAAATTTAATGATTGAGTTCGTCAGACATTTCGTAATCCATTATTTGATGTGAATTCTTTTTCACTAAATAAACAACTAAAACAATAGTTGCAGCAACAACAACTGCCGCAGCAACAGAAGCACCAACAATAATAATAATAACTTTCTTCTGCTTTTCCGCTTCTTTCTTCTTCTGCAATTCATCATTTAATTCATTTTCACCATTTCCCTCCTTTTTTGTACTTTCTGTCGGACTTTGTGTCTTTGTCTGTTCCGTATCTGGTTTCGGATCTTTATCATCATCTTTATCATCTTCTCCTTCATTTTCATTTCCTTTATCTCCTTCATCTTCATTTCCTTTATCTCCTTCATCTTCATTTCCTTTATCTCCTTCATTTTCATTTCCTTTATCTCCTTCATCTTCATTTCCTTTATCTCCTTCATTTTCATTTCCTTTATCTCCTTCATTTTCATTTCCTTTATCTCCTTCATCTTCATTTCCTTTATCTCCTTCATTTTCATTTCCTTTATCTCCTTCATCTTCATTTCCTTTATCTCCTTCATTTTCATTTCCTTTGTCATCTTCATTTTCATTTCCTTTATCTCCTTCATTTTCATTTCCTTTATCTCCTTCATTTTCATTTCCTTTATCTCCTTCATTTTCATTTCCTTTATCTCCTTCATTTTCATTTCCTTTATCTCCTTCATTTTCATTTCCTTTATCTCCTTCATTTTCATTTCCTTTATCTCCTTCATCTTCATTTCCTTTATCTCCTTCATCTTCATTTCCTTTATCTCCTTCATTTTCATTTCCTTTATCTCCTTCATTTTCATTTCCTTTGTCATCTTCATTTTCATTTCCTTTATCTCCTTCATTTTCATTTCCTTTATCTCCTTCATCTTCATTTCCTTTATCTCCTTCATTTTCATTTCCTTTATCTCCTTCATTTTCTTTATCTCCTTCATTTTCATTTCCTTTATCTCCTTCATTTTCATTTCCTTTATCTCCTTCATCTTCATTTCCTTTATCTCCTTCATTTTCATTTCCTTTATCTCCTTCATTTCCTTTATCTCCTTCATTTTCATTTCCTTTATCTCCTTCATTTTCTTTATCTCCTTCATTTTCATTTCCTTTATCTCCTTCATTTTCATTTCCTTTGTCTTTATCATCTTCTTTGTCTGTGTCAGGATCAGGTTGATGAGGTACTGGAGTTGGAATTGGAGTTGCGTTTGTATCTTCTGGATCTAGTTGAGGGACGTATCCATCATTTGGTCTTTGAATAGGTTGAGGAGGATCTTTTCTTGGAGGATATTGATGAGGTTGTTGAGTGCATTAATTGTCTACTTTGTTTATTGGTAATCCTAAGAATGTCTCTTTTTCATAACCAGAAGGAACTTTCACAGTTAAATATTGGTTAGAATTAACACTTGTATCAGTGAAAATTCTGTTGCTGCAGTAAACGATTTCAACATTTTGAGTAATTCCATCAAATGTATTTCTTTCAACCATTGATATTTCAGGGTTAATGTATATCTTAGTCAAACTACTGCATCCACTGAACATTTGGCCTGAAAGAAATAGTGACTTTCCAAAGATATAAACAGATTTAAGTTGTTTGCAATCCATAAACACAGAATTTCCAAACTGTCTAAATGTTTCTGGAAAAATTATTGATTCTAGAGATGTTCCTGAAAACGCGTAATTTGGAATAGATTCTAATTTAGGAGGAAGAACAATTTCACTCAAACTTACATCACCTGCAAATAAATCATTTGGTAAACTGATCAAATTGTAACAATAACTGAAATCTACTTTTCTAAGATTAAGACATTTCCTTAGAACATTCTTTTCTAGTGTTGAAAGCTCAGATGGCATCGTTATCTCAGTAATTCCGGTAAAAGAGAACGCGTCGTATTCAATAAAAGTAATTCCGTCATGAATCGTTAATCTGGATAAACTCCTGCAATTTCTCAATGCTTCAAATGGAATCATTGTCATCATTCGTGGTATTTTGAAATGAGTTAATGAGGAACAGCCGTATAAAAATCTTCTCTTAAATGTAAAGTGTTCGTTAGTTTCAAGGCCGGTGAGTTCTGGTAGTTTGGTGCATCCGTTGAATGTGTTGCCCATGACGTCACGAAGCTTGTCTGAAAAAATAATTTTGACTAAATTAGTACAGCCGTCGAAAACGTGATTGCCGAGCCATTTGACGTTACTCAAATCCATTTCTGTGATGGATGTGCAGCGTTCGAAGGAGTGGCATTGGCATTTAGTAAGTTCTGGCGGGAAAACAAAGCCTGTGAGCATTTTACAGTCAGTGAAACAATATAAACCAAGGCTGCCGATATTGGAAGGTAAGTTAACGGTTCTGAGCTTTGGACAACCTTTAAAACAATTATCATTGAAAATATGCTTTGTTTCTGGAATATCGGTCGTTGTATCACCTTCAACTTGAGTAAATGTCTCTAATGATGCTAATTCAGCAAAGCAAAACTGTTCATATTTCATGTTGGAATTATGTTATTTTATAGAGGTAAGACCAGTGCATCCTTTGAAGCAATACTTGCCAATTGATCTTACATTTGGAGGAATAATGAATTCTCGTAAGGAAACGCAGTTGACAAAGACATTTAATCCGATTTCTTCAACATTATCACCAATTTCGATTGTAGTAAGTGATCTTGAGTTGGCAAATGTCGAAGATTCGATTCTTTTGTAAGTACCTGTAAAAATAGCTTTAGTATATGTCCTTCCTGGGCAAATTTCATCAATCTTCCTGTAATCATAGTAAGAGTCTGCATTAACGGTTAATGTGCTTGTTTCTTGATCATATGTGAATGTAGTTTCACATTTAGAAAAGAGGATATATAAAGAGAGCATTTGAAAAAAAAATGAATTTAAAAATCGCGGAAGTTTGAAAAAATTAAAATTAAGGAAAATACATGCTGACAATGAATAGATAAAAATTTAAGATTAAAGACAACTTGAATTTTGAATTGATTTTTAATGATTAAAATGTAAACTTCTCAAATAGTTTTTCAATGAAAAATCAGGAATTATACTGAGATTGCTCCATAAAACTTGTACTCTATAAATTGCTTTCAAAATTTTTATTTTGATAGCAACTAAACATATCACAATTTGTCAAATTTAATATTCCACTTTTTTTCTGTTTATTTGAAGACTTCCAATGACATTTAGCCGTTATATTTATTTATTTTTTTTGTGAGGAAAAATTGTATCAATTGCGAACGAGAAAAAAGCTGTATTTAAACTTTATTCATGAGAAATAACAAACACGTAATTATAGGCCTGCAAACAGAACTTCTTCCATGATATCATCAGGAAAATCTGCAATTGACGGATGAAAGAAAGCAGAGAAGGAATTTGTATCAACTTTGAAGCTTGAAAGGTATTGGTAAATGTCCGAAGGTATGTCATTTCGATAAGTTTCATCATTAAAGACTTGCAAGCTGAGTTTCATAAAGAAATCATTTGCAAACGATATTTGGGTAGTATTCTTCGACGTTTTGGCTGTCTCCATGACATCAGGAACAAAAGAATTAAAAATAAGACTACGGTACTTAGAATTATTGGATAAGTTAATGACGAAATCAAATATAGCTTGGTATGCAATCGAATGGCCCGGACACTTCATATATACATCCAAAAGTTTCCTGATAACATTTTTGAAATCGAAGTCAGCGATTGAGTCAAGGACCGAAACCATGATTGTATTCATGCATTGCAATGCATTGACTTGGTATTCAAGGAAGCCAGTCGTTTCGTTTTGGCAAATTGCTGAAGCGGAATCTTCAAAAAGTTTCGCTTGGTCAATGACACTAGACCCAAAGTACCTGATATCAATAAATGCAATCGACCAGCCAAGATTTTTGTTTGTTGTTGATTCCGAGTTAATCGCATCTTCAATTATTTCGTGTAATTGAAGTTGGCTGATCTTTTGGTTCGTAATCTGGTTGATGAGCATGCACTTAATAATTCTAAGGAGGCCTTGTTTGCAATCTAGATCCGACTTATTATACAAATTAACAATAGAATCAAACAAGTTGGCCTCGTTAAAGAAGTTGTAGACGAAGGTGAGGTCATTGATAGGGTCTAGCAAGTCTTCGAACATTGATACAATTTGATAAGAAAAGGCAAATTTTATCAATGAGGGAACAAAGGAGAGGGCATCCGAGATGCAGGATGGAAAGTTGTTTACGCAGGTCTGAATAATGTTACATATTATGTAAAAGTTGGATTGTTCATTCAGATTATTTGCGTAGTTTTTGAGTTCCTCAGCCTCAGAAACTAGTACAGATACATGCTTGTTGCCAAGCATAAACAATCTCATGGCCGCCTTCTGTACTCTGAAATCTTCAGAATACAACAACGTGTTAATAAATTTGTCTTTGTACTCTTTAAAGCTGTTTGTTAGAAATAAAATCATACAAATCATTCAACTCGGCGACATTACGTTGGAGCATTGTAAGGGTTGTGGGGTTTTCAAGAAGAAAACGAAAGGTCACGTCTCCACTACGTACTCCGACTAATAAATTATGGAAATCCATCGCAGCAGTGTCATGAAAATTACTGCAGCAGAACATCCTTCAGATAGATTTTTCGCGAGATCGCCCTTTGATAATTGCGGTTTTCTTCTCAAAACCTCGTTCAGAATTTTTTATCGAAACAAAATATCTTTAAGTACACATAAAATAAGATTTAATATTTTTTAATTCAAATTTAAATTAAACTTCAAAAAATCACAAAAGTTTACAAAGGATTTGAGAGATCATGATAAGGAATACTATTCACTATTGTTTCGAAATTTTTACAGTGAAATTAAATATCTTTCTCAAATGATTATTTTATGAAAATCGATTTTTATGGAAATCAAAGAACAATGCTTGACAATTAATAATTATCTGATTGTGTTTGATTCACTTAGAAAATTGCGAAAATTTCAATTGAGATACTGCAATCTAAAAAATATTAGAATATAGATATGCGCAGTCCACAAGATGAAAAAACATAAATCGCAGATTTCGTTTATTGATATTTTTTTTACAACATGATCATTTGATTTTTCTTAAGAATTTGTTTTTATTGCTTGACAATCTGTTGATGATAGCCTACAGGAAAAATATAATATTTTTCAAATAGGTTCATATTTATTTGGAAATTTTTGATTTTTTCGGAAAAGAAAGATTCTAACTTGAGTCTAAACAACAAAAAATTAAAAAATTAATATGAAGACGATGATTTACATTTAGAAATGAAATAATTACAAGATATTTGGTGTGAATATAATTTAAAATTCTTCAGAGGATTCTGATTCTCCATCTGACTCATCAGACTCTGATAAGGCAACACGAGAACGCATTAGGGTCAGCTTAGATTGTATTTCGTTAAATAATCCGTTTTCCTTTTTCTCCTCTGATTTTTGTTCCTTTTCTTTTTCAACTTTCTTAAGGCCTGTCTTAATGGCAATAATGTCTTCTTGACTGATCTTCAACTTTTCTGGTCCTTCTGGGCGGACGTTTCCGATGACTTTATTTGCGCATGGTTTCTTAACAAAGAGCTTAGCTGGTGGTGGTGGAGGTGGTGGTGGAAGTGGAGCATTCTGTATTATAAGAAGTTTCTCTTTGTGGCGTAAATCTTCGAGTTGTTGCTTAAGTTCATCTTTCTTTTCTTTCTTGAAGATCCTTTCAATTGACTGGGAACGTCTTTGGCTACTCATTGTTGAAGCTCTTTTTCTGTTAACTTTCGGAGTTTTGACTGATGAGTTTTCAACTGAGAGAATTGCGTTTGCTACATCAACATTTTCTCCTTCCTTGATGTATTTGACTGTTGCTTGAACCTTAAGTGGCTGTGCTCTGTTTGTACGGCGAAACATTATTCGAAAATGAAGCTAAACGTATAGTCTATCAAAATTGTGAAAACCCAAATTGAATTAAATTATTGAAAAGCGAAAAGTTTTCGTCAAACAGCAACATTAATTATCATAGCATATATAAGGGAATTCTTCAATTCTTATCAAAGATTGATAGAAATGACGTTAAACCAATGAGGATAAATGCAAAATTGATCAAGTTATATAATCCATATTAAATCGCTTTGTAAAATATTCTGAATAAAAAGTCATTCTGCATAGATTTTCATTCGATTTTTTTTATTGATTTGCCACTTGTGACGAGCTCATTTGCCATGATACATCCTATATGCGTACAAATATATTTGACAAAGAAATCCATGAATAATCTTATAATATGGATAAATTGAAATTTTCAAAACCTCTTATTATGGTTTCTTATTTCATAGTATGAATGTAAATATCCATTGTATTATATTCTACCTATTATTATCTAAAAGGTAAGGAAAATGAGTTTCAGAAATTATGAAAAATCACTTTTAAGTTACATGATCATATGTTTTGTGAAACAATCTATGAGTGCCAGTTAAATATTTAATCTTGACAAGTCATAACGAACCATTTTTTCACGGTAAAATAATTCACAAGTTCAAGGACTTTTAACAATACAAATTAAATAACTATCCCATTCGAATCCCATTTCTCATCTCAAAACAGAATGACAAATTCTCGAATCATCGTTTTTGTAAAAATTTGGTCGAACCGTCATGATAAGAAAAATTCTATTGTATCATATTTTCTCATTCCATTAGCCGATCTTTTATTTTTCAGATTTATATTTCTGATTTCGAACATTTATATTTATCGGTCAACAAACCCTTCATTCAAAAATTATGTCTAAACCAGCGAACAATGGAGTGCCAACAAAGCACGCAAAGCAATATTTAAAAATTATTTTAGTTGGAGATAGTGGAGTTGGAAAGACTTGCTTAATATCTTCTTATTTCAAGCAATCTTTCGATAAACATTCAATTCCTACGGTAGCACCAGCATACTCATGCTCCGATGTGAAGAGAAAGGATGGAAAAACAATTTCATTACAAATTTGGGACACTGCTGGCCAAGAAAGGTACCATTCTGTTTCAAAACTATTTTTCAGAGACTCCACATTGGCATTCATATGCTTTGAATGCGGAGATGAAGCATCTACACAAGGAGTTACAAATTGGATCAAGAGAGTATATGATGAAGTACCTCAATGCCAATTATTCCTTGTTTTAACCAAAACAGATCTTCGTGAAAAAGAAAAACTCGAAACCTACAAGCAAGAAGCCTTGGATAAGTTCAAAGAATACAATATCAAAGGAATTTTCCTTACATCTGCTTTAACTCGCGAAGGAGTTTCAGAACTCTTTACTGAAGCTGCTGAACTCTTCGTACCAACAGAAAAAACAGTCACTGCACGCCCATCCGTTGCAGAAGAGCAACATTCTAAGCCATGTTGCTAAATTGACTTTTATTTTGTTGTATTTTAATAAATATTGTAAATATTCCATTTTAATAGTACTATATTAACAATTTTGTACACTTTTTTTGCTTCAACATTCCAAAATTAAAATTATTAAATTTTTATTAACAAAACTCAAGAGTGAATTTTATTGTACTCATCATAGAAAAGGATATAGATTTGAGATACATTCTCATATCATATAAATGTTTAAAATCACATCCTTCTATATCACTGAAAAGGCTATCACCAAAGCAATTAATATATAAACTTGCCACTGATTCATTTTGAGTTGATGTATCTATTGATTCAGTATTTGTTGCCTGGACAATAAATAAATCTTTTATTATTCATTCCCCTTGCTTTCTTTATGAATGACACAGTGACTAATAGAGTTTGTACTATCAAAAGAAAGTAGCAAGTAATTTAAATTAGCTTTTGAATTCAAAAACTTTGACGAATCAATTTTGCTTGCTTATTGAATAACATATTTAACATTTTAAGATTTTTAGTTCCTTGAATAATATGTCAGGAACTCATGAGTTTTTGAGGAATTCCTGCATTAACAATCATTTTGGTATAGTCAATAGACGTATTCTCTATGATAAGAGGACATCTTATTGAAGTCCATTCATTCTATGCATATGGAAATACTGTTTTTACTGAAAGAGGGAAGTTAATGTATTTCAATCTATTGCAATATTTAAAAGAGAAATCTTCAAATAATGAAACAGTTCTAGGTAATATGCTGATATTTTCGATGTTATAACTATAGTTAAATGAGAATCTGCATATAACATTTTATTCGATAACTAGAACTTGGTCTTTAGAATTACTTAAATGATAGAATAGAATGTGATGAATTTGATTTTGTCAGTATTGTCAATGCATTTATATTGACTTGATTCGAAATCACTGATATTTGTAAGAGAAATATATACTGAAAATGAGTTGATTGATAGACTTTCAAGATTAGTTTCTGAGGAAAATATTATTGATTTAAGTTTGTTGGAGGAATCGAACACATATTCTGCGATAATGCGAAAAGTTAGTGGAATACTGATACTGGCCAATGAACAGCAATTCTCAAATGACCTAATTCCACTCATCTCAGAGCCCTCTCTAAGAGTAACTTGAGACAATCTAGAACACCCATGAAAACATGACTCGGCAACTTTGCTAATAATATTATCAACTCTTAATAAATAAATACAATTCTCAAAAGCTCTCTCCAAAATTTGGAGATTAGATGCAGGAAAACTAATGGAATAATGGCTTATACAATTTTGAGATGATGAGATTCCGATAACAGATATGGTAGATGGAATAGCAATTGTTGAAATCTTGGAACAATTTTTGAAAGTATTATTTTCAATTACTTCAAAAATTATATTCGAAATTGTTGAATTTTCAACCATTCATTCTTTGATTTTCGTTACAGCCTTTTGGATTGTAACGCCTCTGCAATCATAATTTATTCCCAAAATTCATAAATTATTGTATACTCAAAATTCAAAATCAAAAAATTTGTCTCGAAAATACAATCTTTCTGATTTAAGTATGAAAGGGAAGCATTTGTATTTATTTTAATTTTATTACGGGGTGTCATTACTTTACATGTGAAAGTTAAACATAATTTTGTAAACGATCTGTCAATACACATATTCAATATCTTAAAAGAGCATGAAAACTTTACAAGTTCCAAAGTTTCTCTTAATGAAAATGCATTATTGGAAATATAGTATAAAGGCCTTGGTGGGGAAAAAATTAGACATATGTGTATGCGTGTCAGGACAATTCAATATACTCCCTCTCAATACAAATTTTAGAAGATTTTTTTTCCTAAGTATATTCTAATTTTCAATTGAAAAGTGACAGTAAGCAATTTTGTTAAAAAAGATATAGTATAATATCAAAAATTATTTAACAAGATAATAATAACAATTACTGTAGTAGATGTGCCCATTTCGAAGCTTTAATATTCTCGCGAATTTCCTTGAAATCAGGTAAAGACAAAATTTTTTCAGCGGCTGCAACATTTCCTGTAACTAAATAACAAGCGCAAAACCAAACATTGTATTTGCATTGGCTAAACATGTCGCAAAGATCTTTAACACATTGTATTTTTGTCGGATTTTGAGTGATAAAAAGTGACAAAATTTCAATGCATTTTAATGCAGAAATTTTTGGTTCTTTGAATTTCTGCAAACTGACAACAGGATTCTTTTTCGTCTGTGCGCACAAATAAGGTATTACGTAAGGTCTCTTAATGCAGACTAATCCATACACGCATTTCTCAACAACATCGAAATACAACTCAGACAAATATTTTTGAACAGTTTTGTCCGTTATTGACCTTGGAAAAGGTAATTCAACACAGCTCAATGCGTTGTTGATTTCGTCTTCATCTCTGTAGCATTTCCTTAGTACTTCTATTGCGCAACACACTGATGCAACTTGTCCTTCTTCACGACCTATGTATCTGATTAAAGAAGAATAGTTTGCATGAATGACTTTTGAAATTTTTTCATCGTTTTCAAATTTGATAATTTGATTTTCTTCTTTCGATGAAATTTTCAAAGCAAGGAAATGGCAAAGTATCTCTGTAGCCGAGTAATATGGTTTAGGGAACAATTTGAACACACTCGGCTTGTGTCTCACGAATTCTACAAGTTTATCCGCCCTTCCATCATCTAATGACGAAATTACTCCGTCTTCAATGAAATTTTCGAAGTCGGGATTGGTTTGTATAGGTATCATGAGAATAGACAACTTCTCGATGTCATGGATCTTGCTGGCAAACGTCTTGCCAAAGTAGTTTACAATGGAAAATTCTTTTGTAAAGTCGTTGTAAACTAAACAATAATTCTGAGTTGTAAACAAACCGCAAAGATAACCGATTTGAGAATCTAAATATTTAATCTTTTTGCTCCTCAAATCTATTGTATATAAATCATTTTCTGATGATGAAAAAATTAATATGCCAGTTGTGTGGTCGACCAAATAATTTGTCACGTTTTCAAAAATGTCGGAGCCATTACATTGTAATCTTCTTCCTCTTGCCAGTGTATAAACGTTATCGTTGTGAGTTTCGGCGATTGTTGAAGAGTAATTAAAGAATGTGCTGACATCTCCGTTATAAACCATGACAGAGTCGTTGAAAGCAAATGTTAAGTTCTTTCCATCTGATCTGACGCAGTTTGGAACTGTTTTGAGGTTAATTGTCTTAATTGTTTTCTGTTTTTCATCGGAAACCTCGAGAAATCGAACAATACATTCATGGGAGAACACATCATGATGAACAACAACTAATGTATCGCCATGGAAGATGAGATGCTTAGTATTTTTCAAAGATTGTTGATTTGATTTGATCCAAACACGTTTTACTGTATTGTATAAATATAATCGGCCACATCCAATGTATGCAAAGTAGTATCCATTTGTTACACAATGTTTAATCGATCGCAAATCTTGAGGTTTTGTAATTACGTTTGTAAAGATTTTGTTTTCGTTATTAACGTAGTAAGTTACATTGGATCTGGTGTAAATGAATGGATATGATGGATTAATTGGGATGTTTATGATCTCAGAGTAATAAAATTTGTTTTCATTTGAAATAATCAGAAGAGTACGACTTACAACGAAATTAAATGCATCGTTGAGTTGATCGAGTTTATAAAATCTGAATTTTGGCTGCATACTTGGCAATATTCCAATATATCCATGAGATATACAGAAAAGTGTAGAATCTGGGCCAAAAGCTAATTTTGAAATGCGATGCTCTGTTGATATAATACGCTTTAAGTTGAAGTTTGTCACGAAAACAGACCCATCAGTTGTATATGCCGCGGCAATATTAGCAAATGAGGATGAAACAATATTGTATGCATTGAATTCCATATCCTTGCACTTCAAATCATAGTTTGTTTGATGCAATATTTGTGGTTGAAGATCTATTGAATACGTTGAGCCATCCCCTGCTAATATAAGACCATTTCGCTTGGAAATCGCTATAGATTTAATTGCTATATTACCAAGGTTATGGCAAATTGAATCACCGCTTTCTGGGGAAATTAAAAATAAGTTTCCATTGGCGTCACCAGCAGCAACATATCCATTATATGAATCTACTGAAGTAAACATTCCATTTTTAGGATGTTTGAATGTCTTTCGAAGTTGAATTTGCTTTGCATTGTTAAAAATGTAAATTAATATTGATCCTTGATTAGTCATGCAGTAAAAGCTATCCCTAATTAGCCATCCACATGCAGATAGATATCCGTTTGTTTCAGTAAATGATTTTTCTAACTGGAGAGATGCGATAATTTCTAAATTTGGATTATTTCCCTTTGTAATCCATATTTTGTCTGTAGAAATATATAAAACGTATGTTCTTGAAGGTGATAGCTTCATCGAAACTACATTTCCGAACCCTTCCTTCTCTGGAATCTCTTTTAATTCATCAAGAAACATTATATCGAGATTTTATTTCAAACGACATTTTTCGTGGTTAGAAAATATTAATTATTTGGAACTGGAAATTAATTAGACAATAAAGTGTCAAATAATTACCCATATTTGATAGAACTTTATGAATTTTTTGAGAGTATTTTTATGATTGATGGAAAACATGCAAAAAAGGGGTAATTTGAGATCCATATAACTGTAATCGATATTTTCATAGTGTTTATAAAGGAAATGTTTTTAAATATCAGAGTTTTGATAAAAATGATTATTTTTTCATCAAAAATTGCTCTATTCGCTATAAATTTTTTCATTATCTACCAAGGTAATTTAAGCTGAGGTAATTAATTTAACTCTTACTTTTTGAATTCAAATTTCAATAAAATATTAGATTTATTTTCCAATGAAGGTACAAATGTAGAAGACTAAAAATTTCATAAATCCGTTCAGTAAAACCTGACAGATGAGAAATCATTTAAAAAATAAAAATATTAAGCCCAATTGGAACAGAATACATATAGAACCATGAATACTTGTTCGGAACTGATAAAATGAAATTATGACGCCAATCAAAATTAGCGGTTAAGAATTTATTATTAGATTTTAAAAAATAATTCTACAAATGGTATTAAATAAAATATTCTCCATTTTTTCCTACACTCAGAAAAAGATCTTATCGAACATTTAATTTGAAAGGGTATCACAATTTAAAGCAATAAAAAAAATATCACATAACTATTTGTATAATCAAAATAATGGATTTTTTGAATTTTTATATGGGTCATTGAAAAATTAAAATATTTTTTGATGATTGATACCCATCAGCGTATTGCCTATATCAAGCTTGATTCCTTTGACGTCGGAAATTTCCAGACTGACTATGGTTCTAGAATAGTTGCTAGTGTTGGTTCTCGTTCATCTTTAATCCGTAATTCTAAAGAATTTTCCTCCTCAGAGAGATCTCCTCAAAAAGTATGGGAGTTCAAGTACAACAACCCAAATACTTCTTCATTCATTCTATCTCTCTCAAAGAAACGCATATTTGGAGGGGATATCATGATCGGAGAAGCTGATATAAAGGTTTCAAATTACGAATTAAACAAAGTTGTTAAGCACGATGTTAGACTGAAAAATCACAAAAACAAGTACTTAACAAGTAAAGCTACAATATTTGTTCACATTTGTGAAGATGGAGCCAATCCATTCAGTGCAGAAACAGGTAGACTAATTGAAAGTTCCAGAGTTTAGATCTTATACTTATATATTGTTTGTGAAAGAAAATTATAAATAAAATTATCATGTATAATTTCCAAACTTTTTTGCACACGGTCTAAATGTGCTCTCTCAGTTCATTTACAAAACAAAATACTATGAATATTTTGAAATTTGCAATATCTTGTTATACATGTATAAAAATTTTCCTATTTCTTTATACAAAACACAAAGAATGAAAAAGTTTATGAATATTCATGCTTTACTATAAGACTAATATTTTCTTTTTTTTTAGATGGATTTGATGAACTTTAGATCATATTATACTACTCCAAATACGGAAGTGATTAAATAATATTCATAGAAAATGTTTTTTAAGCAACAATTTTCAGAAGAACAATTGAAACTATAATTACAATGAATTAATATTAAAAATAAATTATTTTATCCAATAGATGCATAATGGATCAAATGTAAGGCGATCCTATGCGAAAATAAAAATCTTTTCTATTAAATTGTCGATATCTAGAATTTTGGACAAGTTCAAAAGCAACTACTATACAAGTGTATTGTATTTATTTAGGTATTTTATGATTATCCAAGTTTGAAGCAAAGTTTTTCCTTGATGGTTTCGGTTACCCATCAGATGGCAAACCCAAATTTTAGCTAAAAGTGACAGGAAAAAAAACGTTTAGTATTAAAAAAAAGACCGATGAGAGCTTCGTTCGAAATATAGAGGGAACTGTGAATGCGCAACCATTCTCAGGGAATATTGGATGCTATTCCCGTTCCCTCTGTATGGAAAATTGAGGTTTTCAAAGGGAGTTAAAATAATATCAAATTTATACTAATTTACTTCAAAATACAAAAGTATTTGACAGCTAAAATTAGTTACTTTAGCAAGCCTATCAATACCCTTTTACGATTATTGTTACTTTTTCGAAATAAAAGTAAAAACAAATTTATACTAATTTACTTCAAAATACAAAAGTATTTGACAGCTAAAATTAGTTACTTTAGCAAGCCTATCAATACCCTTTTACGATTATTGCTACTTTTTCGAAATAAAATAAATTTATTATCAAAAACCTTTTTTTTCTTAGTAAAAATAAACGAAATTTTTTACCTTATGAACTTTTGATGGAAATATGCAAATTTAAAATAATAAAGAAAGCCGCGAGCGAAGCGATCGGCTTAGTTCGAAGATTTTGATTCAAATCTTTGCTGATCTGTAATTCGCGGAAGCCGCGAGCGAATCGAGCGGCTTAGGTCTAAGATTTTGATTCAAATCTTTGCTTATATTCCTTAAATTCTTTATGAAACTCGCAACAGTTCCATAAAAAATTTTAAATTCTAAACTGTCGAAATTACCGATCGGTAATCACACTCTTCACGGGTGTGTCACTTTTTGCGGGTGTGTCACTTTTAGCTAAAATTACCCCTACTCCCCATCAGATCATAGAAAAATTTTTACCCAAAGTTTATTCCATGTCCACAAACTTATATAGTATACTTTTTATTCAAATATTATTTGTTCGAAATTCTTAACATTTAAGGGTGCACACGAGAGGATCATGTAAACTTCAGAATTTAGAACCTTATTTTTAGGCATTATCTTGGCTACCTATTTAGGCTCGAAAAGCAAAAAATATCAAAAAATACAACTTGACTCCATTATGACCCTTTCATGGAGGTAGTTTTTATCCGCTAGTATTTTCCCTTTGAATCTCTTTACAATTCGAAATCAAATTCAAAACTCAGTAGAAGAAAGGAAGAATCGACTTACTACGGTTGTAATACGAATAAATACATATATTTAATTATTTTTATTTACATAATAATTGTTTGAAGCTCATATTCCAACAAATTTTTAAATAAAAACATTAAAATGTTGAAAATGTTCATATATTTTAATAGGGTTTTGACACTTTATTGAGGAATTACTACATACATAGTCGAACTGAACTTGATATTTTGAAATTTAAATTATTTATCAAAATTAAAATTTAACTTGAAATTTATAATTATTTAGTCATATTTTGCATAATTCTAAGTAGATTTTGTAAAAAATCAAGAAAGAAAAATTTTAACGTGCTTTATTTTTTCTTTTTTATAATAATACATATTATTATATAATTAACATATTCATAATGTTTCACCCTTTCAAAAATATAATCCTCCTCCTCTCAAATAAACGTACATACGGGTGCAGCCTTAATGGGGCGATTCAATTTTCAATAGTAGTACAGGAAATTGATTCAAAAAAAAATTAAATGAAAACTGAGTATTTGCAATATGCATATGATGTACAATATTTTTTTAAAGTGGAATAATAATAATTGTTTAAACAGTATTGAAATTTTTCTGAAGGTGATTAATCATTATGATTGATTCACATCAACGTGTTGCGTACATCAGACTTGATTCATTCGATGCAGGAAACTTTGATGCTGATTATGGATCACGTATAGTTGCAAGTGTTGGTTCTCGTTGTTCTCTCTTGAGAAATGCAAAAGAGTTTTCAAACTTTGATAAATGCCCACATAAAGTATGGGAATTAAAATATCGTAATCCACATACTTCTTCTTTCATATTGTCCTTCTCCAAGAAGCGCACTTTTGGAGGCGATATTCAAATTGGAGAAGCAGAGCTCAAATTATCCCATTTTGAGTTGAATTCAGTTACTAAGCAAGAAGTTAAGCTTAGAAACTTTGGAAATCGTCGCTTATCTAGTACTGCGACAATTTCAGTACATATGTGTGAAGATGGATCATATCCATTCAGTGCAAGAGAAGGTCATCTTCTTGAGCATTCACATGTTTAATTTCATATATTTATATTGTTTGTTTATTACGGAAATTTATTTTCATGTAAAACCATTAGTCGATTTAATTAATGTTTTTTAATCTCATATCTTTCTTTTTCATTATTGAATTCATTTCATAATTTTATATGTTGGATAAGTGAATTTTATTAGCTAATATATAAGCACAATCTTTGAATCATAATAAAATAAACAAGTGTATTAAATATTTGTTGGTTTTTAAAGAAATTACAAAGATGATTTTTATAGATAACTCTATGTATCAGTGTCATTATTTTCATGTTTCAAAACTGGGTTAAAACTATTGGGCTGATCTTTGTAACACTATAAGTTTAAGAAATAGAGGCAAATTTCAAATTAAGCGTAGAGAATAATTTATTCTTGATTTTTATGCAACAAATATATTATAACTATTACGTTGATATTTTTTTCATAAACATTTTAAATTTATAAGAAGACAATTTGAAACAATAAAAAAAAATAAACTCTAAATGCAATCAATTGCTATTGGTAATTATGCATAGACATTGGATAATAAAAAATATGGATTTTACGATGAATAAAAAAGAGAAGAAATCTAGATTTATTCCAATTGAAATATATTCTGAAGTAAACGCTGTATCACCGGGATTGCAGATGAATTTAACATTAAATAATATGTTTCATGGAAGGATTAGATTTTGAGGTATTTGAAATTTTCATAAAATCTTTGTGAAATCAATTAAATTACGTATATTTCATGTATATAAATTGTATTCGAATATGAAATCTGTTTTAAAAAATTTGATAGAAAAATTTTCGTTTATTATTAGAATTTTTTCAATGTGTTTTCAATTATTGAATCGAGGGTTTGAAATTCATTGGAAATATATAACGTGTTTTTTTATGATATTTATGAAATCGTATCTAAATTGTATAAACTTATCCTAATATCAATTATATATTAGGAATCGAATGACTTTGATAGAACTAAATTTGAAGGGCATGAAATTGTTTTCGTCGTATAACTTATCATATTTATTAATTAGCTGAAAAGAATTAGTTATTTATGGATACTTTTGATTTTGATTTTGAGAGCAAGGATTTTGAGCTACGAAATCTCAAAGAAATATTTGTGAAAATACAAATAAACTTTTGAAAAAAGATTTTAGTGAATTTATCAAACTATTGGGGACTTTGTAAATAAAATAATGTCGAAATTAAAGCGGACATTATAAATAGACTATATATTCAAGTTATATATAGCAGAAACTTCAAATGGAAACATGAAAGAAAACAAATTCAAAAATCATAAAATTCATTAACAAGATTAGTACGAATTCTATAATTATCCGTGATTCAAAATGAATGACGATTAATGAAGTTGAATCAATACTTAATTAAATTTAATATTCTCAAAAAAGATTAGCAATTCAGAGAGGTTATCGATTTTGTAATTTAATCATCGTCGTTATCGATTTTGTAATTTAATCGTTATCGTCTTTTTCTAAACGTGCACTTTTACATTAAAAGCAATGCAACTCCAAAATTAATTGGTATTTAGACTTTAATTAGGTGCAGACAAACGAAATGCAGTCCAAATATTTTGGTGATATATGAATTACATAAATTTAGGGAAATTGAAATTATATCTTTTTAAATTTTTAGGAAAACAGATTTATAGAATTGTTTAAGTCATCAAAATAATGCAGACTTAGGTCAAATTTTCCAAATTTAATCATTTGCAAGACTTTCAAGCGACTTCAAAATGTCGAAATATAAGTCCAAAAATATTACGATTACAGTCTATCCTCAATTATTATCACGCTAATTATTGAGTGACCCATGCGTTCGTATGTATGTATACCTTTTAAAAAGGAGATGAGAGAGATAAACTACATTTACAATTTAAATCTGATGTATTTACTTGTTACATTTACAAATGTAAATGTTTCTCGTAATGTTTACATTTTGTAAGTATAACGAATAAAAATGACGCACTTTTTTACAAAGTCAAATTATGCGATACAACTTTACTTGTTACATTTACAAATGTAAATGTTTCTCGTAATGTTTACATTTTGTAAGTATAACGAATAAAAATGACGCACTTTTTTTACAAAGTCAAATTATTGTTCGATTTTTGCAGCTTGTAAACGATTAATTGTATAAAGCAATTGATATTAGCACGACATACTGAATAATTCTAATATTGAAATCAAAAGCCCTTAAAATATCATGATATTTTAATTTCATAACAAATCTAGGAGACTATTTGATGAAAACATATCCGATGTGGTTTTTGTTGTATTATATAACTTGTTATTGACTTCTTAGCTTTCCAAATTTTTTTCGATAATGAGAAAACGAATGAAAAATCAACATTTGGTCCATTTAAAATTTGATTTGTTTACATTTTTTTACTTTTTGAATTTCAATTTATATTTTCCTCAAGAAATACTTTAGATTTTAAGAAACTAAATCATATAATCTACTAAGAAAATATATTAATCCTATAATACTCAGTTTTGTGATAAATCCGATCTTTTTTATTTTACTTTTATATGTTTTTGCAAACTTAAGGTCCTCACTAGGTAAAACATAATACTCTTTGAAGTTAAGTATTTTCACAAAGAGAGGACCAACAATATCAAAAGATTGAATAAAGATTTGTATTATTTTATTTATTTTTAAGAACATGTTTAAGAACCCTCATTATCTCCACGAATATTGCATATTTTTC